TAACAGGATAAACACTCATTGTAATACTGAAGAAGCCAAAAAAACAGAACGCAACTAAATATACTCCACATTTTTTAAAAACAATTGCCCTAGAAACTTCATAAACAAAACTATAAACAAAATACAAAACAAAACACAACCGACAAGAGCAACGAGAAACCGGACGAAACAATAAAAGTCGTGACATTACCACACATAAACGGAACATCAGAAATGACTGCCAGATTTTTTCGACCATTTAATATTAACGTCGCCTACATACCTACTCAAAAACTAAATTGGGGTTCACGAAACATAACAGATACCAGGCCATAGCCTTTGTTCCCATGACCGGGGAAAGCAGCCCGTTTTACCAAACATAAAGACAAAACATCAATTCGTGATACAACTGACGCGATCTACATGATACCATGGAAAGACTGCTCAAAGCAATACATAGGACAAACATCAAAGAAAATCGGAACAAGACTCACAGAACACAAAAACGCCATAAAACGACGAGATCCGAACTCACTACCGGCAGAACATACCCATGGAAACAACGACACATTCGACTGGACAAAAACTAAAGTACTCGGACGCGCATAGACTAAACGCGCACGTGAATTTAAAGAAGCTTGGTACAGTAAAGACAACGACACAATAAACAGACATATCGACATACCCATCATATACTCACAACTAAAGAAAAAGGACAATAAAACTAAAAAACAACACCAAAAGTACAACATCTTTCTCTAATAATATTAACACTGACCATATTCACTCTACACCAAAACCCATGGCAACCCATTTCACCCATCCAATCACATCAATTCACCCGCTAATCCAATTAGACGCTTTACGCGTCTACAAGCTAAAAGCAAGTGTAAATAGAAAAATTCTCCTTCTGATGAAGGCTCGAAGCAACGAGTCAAAAGCTCAATAAAATTATTTGTGAAATCCGGAGAAACTTTTATTTTTGAATAATATAATAACTGAATTGCCAATCTTTAAACAGAATTATTCACAAGTATATGCTCTTCTCAACTTCTTATATCCAAACAACATAGTATGCACAGTCTCGGCGTTGGCAGATCGTAAGCCATCTTGTCTGCGATTGTTATTTTGCTACTTTTGACATTGTATGACAAATAATGGATGACATACTTCTTTCATATGAAAACTGGCTGGATTCATGATCAATTTCAACGATCATGGCTAAACATATTTAAACAATTCGAGCAGATTTACACATATTTGGCACTTCAGTGAATTTAGAGTAAGATAGTTTTTACTGGATTTTGCAGGATTTTTCAACACACCTAATTCATATGGCCTTTTCGCGACTACTTGTATATATATGTACATATATACATACATTGTTGGAGTGTTCGATTACGACATTCACAATCGATGCAAAATTTATCAATTCATACAATATTCGAGATAACGCGCTAGATATGTTTGTGACTGCCTGCCATTCGTGGGGGGGGATATTATGTGGAAGAATGAGAAAAATATTTCATTTTGGAATCAAAGTCTTATAGCATCATTCCATATGATATATTGTCTAGTAAAGTTAAAAGTCTAAATATGAAATTTTGAATTATCTGGCTTGCAGTGATGTACTGTGCACACACAGGCATAGGTATGTTTGTTATTTTCAGATAACATCTGTAATTGCCACTTAACGTAATTAAATCACAAATACAAAACAATTTCTAAGTATTTTACGTCTAAATAAAATCAAAACAATATTAAACAAGTCACGTCTTGTTATTTTTCTTGCGTAAAGCGGAAAATTTTGTGTATTAGACTCAGAGGTTATACATGAAACATGTCTATTAAGTTCTATAGAAGTTAAAAATATACATCACAAATTCCACAGGCATTAGTGCGAAAAGTAAATTGGTTGTCAATATTCGCCAACGCAATTACTGTAGCTAAAGTTAACAGTGTTTTTGTTGAAGATTTTGTGGAGAGTTGAAGAGGGCGAGAGATGCAACGTTTTGTTTTTACATTCTTACAGTAAGGTGGATTTAAGCAACAGGATGTTTTTATTGAGACTTTTTTCGTAAATTTTTGGATTGGAGTTATACTTCCTGTTGGTTTTATGGTGACTTATTTACAGGCATCCATACAAATACTTGATTCGCTCTTTAAAACATGTTCATCTGACGATAGATTTGAGAGACGACCGTTTACAGAGTTTGGTAGTTTCCAAAGTACACAAAATTTAACGAAACATTGCTTTCTTTTTATGTTATACTGAGTCTTATATCCTTTAATGACAAAGTTTTGCTTTCACAATCGATACAAAATGTAAATATTCATAGGAAATTTGACATACTGCGCTATCTTTGTGACTGCAAGTCGCATGTGTGGGAAAATTATGTGAAAAATGAAAACAATGTTTCATTCTCGTTTCAAATCTAAGTAAAACCATTCCACTTACAGATTTTGTCACGTGAAGTTAAAAGTTTAAAATATGAAAACTTTAGCATTGCAGTAATGTACTGTAATGTACATTCCAGGTATAGAGATGTTATTATTTTCAAATTACATTTCTGCACGTAACATAATTAAATTACAAATACAAAGCAAAATCTTTCACTTTCTAAATAACTTGCGCAACGTTAAATTCTGCTTATGAAAATTACCGGTCGAATAATTTATATATTTGTCATGAATAGTCTAAGCGCAGTTTGAAAAAAACTTTAAGAGGAAACTCACTGAAAAGGAAAGAGGATTTGTCAGAAGTTCGATATTTTCTAAAACCGGCATGTTGTTGAACACTTTTTTTAAATAAAACAATTTTAGGTGTTAAACCAGTTCTATCGTGATACTTCTTCGTGTGAATTTCAACAATGGCGGAATCGACTCGACAGTAAAGACAACGACACAATAAACAGACATATCAACATACCCATCATATACTCACAACTAAAGTACAACCTAAAACTACAACATCACACACTAATAATATTAACAGCGAACATCGTGGCCAGAGATTTGCCTGGCGGAAAGCGAATTTTCAATATGAACATAATATGTTGGGCTATTATGTTCATATTGAAAATAACAGCGAACATATTCAAAATACACCAAAACCCATGGCAACGCATTTCACCAATCCAATCACATCAATTCACCCGCTAATCCAATTAGACGCTTTACGCGTCTACAAGCTAAAAGCAAGTGTAAATAGAAAAATTCTCCTTCCGATGAAGGCTCGAAGCAATGAGTCAAAAGCTCAATAAAATTATTTGTGAAATCCGGAGAAACTTTTATTTTTGAATAATATAATAACTGAATTATCAATCTTTAAACATAATTATTCACAAGTATATGCTCTTCTCAACTTCTTATATCCAAACAACATAGTATGCACAGTCTCGGCGTTGGCATATCGTAAGCCATCTTGTCTGCGATTGTTATTTTGCTACTTTTGACATTGTATGACAAATAATGGACGACATACTTCTTTCACATGAAAACTGGCTGGATTCATGATCGATTTCAACGATCATGGCTAAACATATTTAAACAATTTGAGTAGGATTTACACAGTTTTGACGCTTCAGTGAATTCAGAGTAAGATAGTTTTTACTGGATTATGCAGGATTTTTCAACACACCTAATTCATATGGCATTTTAGCGACTACTTGTATATATATATATATACATATATACATACTTTGTTTGAGTGTTCGAGTTCGACATTCACAATCGATGCAAAATTTATCAATTCATACAACATTCGAGATAACGCGCTAGATATGTTTGTGACTGCCTGCCATTCGTGGGGGGGGATATTATGTGGAAGAATGAGAAAAATATTTCATTTTGGAATCAAAGTCTTATAGCATCATTCCATATGATATATTGTCTAGTAAAGTTAAAAGTCTAAATATGAAATTTTGAATTATCTGGCTTGCAGTGATGTACTGTGCACACACAGGCATAGGTATGTTTGTTATTTTCAGATAACATCTGTAATTGCCACTTAACGTAATTAAATCACAAATACAAAACAATTTCTAAGTATTTTTACGTCTAAATAAAATCAAAACAATTATTAAACAAGTCACGTCTTGTTATTTTTCTTGCGTAAAGCGGAAAATTTTGTGTATTAGACTCAGAGGTTATACATGAAACATGTCTATTAAGTTCTATAGAAGTTAAAAATATACATCACAAATTCCACAGGCATTAGTGCGAAAAGTAAATTGGTTGTCAATATTCGCCAACGCAATTACTGTAGCTAAAGTTAACAGTGTTTTTGTTGAAGATTTTGTGGAGAGTTGAAGAGGGCGAGAGATGCAACGTTTTGTTTTTACATTCTTACAGTAAGGTGGATTTAAGCAACAGGATGTTTTTATTGAGATTTTTCGTAAATTTTGGATTGGAGTTATACTTCCTGTTGGTTTTATGGTGACTTATTTACAGGCATCCATAAAAATACTTGATTCGCTCTTTAAAATATGTTCATCTGACGATAGATATGAGAGACGATCGTCTACAGAGTTTGGTAGTTTCCAAAGTAAACAAAATTTAACAAAACATTTCTATCTTTTTATGTTATACCGAGTTTTATATCCATTAATAACAAAGTTTTGTATTTGACTTTCACAATCGATGCAAAATGTAAATATTCATAGGAAATTTGACATACTGCGCTATCTTTGTGACTGCAAGTCGTATGTGTGGGAATATTATGTGAAAAATGAGAAAAATGTTTCATTCTCGTTTTAAGTCTAAGTAGAACAATTCCACTTAGAAATTTTGTGTCGTGAAGTTAAAAGTTTAAAATATGAAAACTTTAGCATTGCAGTGATTTACTGTAGAGTTCCAAGTATAGAGACGATTATTATTTTCAGATTACATTTCTGCCACGTAACATAATTAAATTATAAATACAAAGCAAATCTTTCACTTTCTAAATAGCTTGTGCAACGTTAAATTCTGCTTATGAATATTACCGGTTGAATAATTTATATAATTGTCATGAACAGTCTCAGCGCAGTTTGAAACAAACTTTGAGAGGAAAGTCACTGAAAAATAAAGAAGATTTTTCAAAAGTTAGATATTTTTTAAAACTAGCAGGTTGTTAAACTTTTTAAATAAAACAATTTTAGGTGTTAAGCCAGTTCTGTCGTGCAATTTCTTCGTGTGAATGTCAACAATGGCGGAATCGATATCTTCAAGTTCTTCGGAAGGCAATGAATTGAATGAAATGAGCGAACGAGCACAAACAGTTCGTGTAACGTTTGATGATGTGTTAACAGCTCAGTCAAGAATCCGAGATAGCGTGCCTCAAACTCCTTGCGAGGTAACATAATTTTGCGAATTTTATAAAATAACAAATTTAAACAAAACTTCATTGTCAAATAAAAACTTACTTTAGTATGATCAAAAAACTATGTGAAATTCAGTTTGATTATCATCATTTAACATTTTATTTGCTTGTTGACTTTGATTGATTTTTTACTTAAATACTTATGAAATTAAAGTATCGAACATAATTTCTAATTAGATACGTTTAATTCAATTTCGTAATTATAAGCAAGTTACAAAATATCACAAAGCGGACACGTTTTACTGAGCCAATAAATAAGGGACTTGTGACAATAAGTTGATGTAGTTTGTTAGATGCTTCTAAAAGATGTTTATTATACTTAGAGGTTAGAAAAATTATGGGTCAAAAATGAAGAATACTGACCAGTTACGGCCAGGGGCGGATATAGACTTTAGCAAACGTTGCAAAAGCAACAGTCAGAATTCTCGAAAAATATCAGTCGCCAAAAAATTGCATAAAACGATTTATTTTACAAATTTTGTATTGATGTGCAATGCAAGTAAATTCAATAAATTGTTAAATTGAAGTTATTCAGTGATTAACATGAAGTATTTGCTCATAAATCAAGTAAACGCGATCGCATCGTTCAAAATCACCCTGATTTGGATATTGCGGAGCTCGCCACAGTATGTTGCTTAATTTAGCGAAGTTTGGCTACAGTCAGGCTTGCTTAACCAATCACATTGCTAATTGTGGCAACAGTCGAACGATGCTTAGCAAATCATATCACAAATCACGGCAACAGTGGCAAAAGTTCGATACCATTGCGTAATTTGCTTGATATAACTTAATTTTTGGTGTATGTACAACTTATTTAAGCTTTTTGGGCAACATTCACAATGCCATTTCACGAAACGTTGAAACAACTTCAACATTTGTTAAATAAACCGTTTTCCTTTAAGGAAAAGGCCACGATGAATGTGATTTTATCACTTCGGCAAGAGCGCAATAGAATCATTGCAGCTAAATTGAGTAAGGCCAGAGTCGGCGACACACATGTCCATAAATGGCAATTTTCCAAACTGCAGTTCCCTAGAAATAAGGAATTACGCTGCATAAATCCCACTCAGTGAAGCAAATTGATAAATAATACGTACCAAACTGGATTTCACATGAAATTCGACAAATTTTGTAACTGACTCGACTTTATGATGCACTTTTTACTACTGTGCAAATGAATTGTTATTGTGTCAAGTTTTCGAATAAATTTGTACTGTAGATTTGCTGCAGACTCAAAGGCTCTATGATTTCTTATTGCACATGCCTTAAATGTTTCATTTAATATTATTTCAATTGAGTGGTTTGTTTCATAATATGTATTTGATTTCATTTGTCATCTGCGGCAGTAATATGGACAAACCCAAGAGCATTTGAAATTTAAATTTAAATGTCAAATGATTCATTCCTGGATTTGATTATTGTCTATATGGCTTCTACTGTATGGATAGATTATTTATATAAATGCGGATATTCTAATGTAAGTAATGATTGTGGTTATATCATAATGCATATTTTTAAAGGATATGATTTTGATGCAGATGCATATCATGTGTCTTCCCTGTGAAATTGAAATGAATGTATTGCTGTCATAACTTATAAACTCTTTAAAAGATAATGTTTTATTTCTATGTCATTTGCTAATTTGCACTTATTCCATTGTATGTAAAAATATAGGACTTCCGGTTATGGCAATTTCTTTATTATTCATGGTCCATTGCAATGTATGGTGAAGCATTGAATTGTTTATAAATATGCCTTATTATTCTTCCCACTTCTTTGATTGAACATTAGCATAAGCACGGTGCATTTTTTGTTGTAAGGAAAATGCATTTGCCATGTATTTATCTAATGCTGAACTTTATTGTATGATGAAAAGATCCAATTAAGGCTATTTTGAGAGCTTTATAGAAATGCTTACGTCATAAGCACTGCAAACTTTCCAAAATTTGTTTCCAAATTTGCAGGAAATCGCTATTCTGACCATATTGAATTTCAAAATTTCGGGGAGGTTGCCCTAGACTCCATACGGGGCTCGTTTCGCTACAGTCATGCAAATTGTTGGATCAACCCCTGAGTTATGCATAATGCAACATGAAACATATCTAGTATAAGTTATTTAAATTTAAAAATAAACATCACAAATTCCAATGAAATTAGTGCGAAAAGTAAATTGGTTGTCGACTTTCGCTAACGCAATTACTGTTGCTAAAGTTACAGAGTTTTTTAAAGATTTTGTGGAGATTTGAAGAGGGCGAGAAATGCTTTTCAATCAGAAACACGAAATATTTTACAACATTTTGTTTTTAAATTCTTACAGTAAGGTGGATTCAAGCCACAGGATGTTTCTTTCTCTTGAGATTTTTTTGTGGAATTTGGATTGGAGTTATATTTCCTGTTAGTTTTTTGGTGACTTCTTTGCAGGCATCCATTGTCTCAACTTAGGATAAAAGTAGCGTAGCCCAAAATGTTAGGTTTTGTGATGTAGCCATCTGCCTTTCTTAGTATATATTGATTTACACCCACAATTAGAAATATCACCGATAACTAAACGAACTCATTTTATGTTCAACGTCAATGTCTACAGCGTACGATCGATCTTACAACGGTTGAATTGCCTTTATTTATACGACATATTAAGTAAGGATGTATTTCGTTCTTTAGAAAATATGATTACATTATAAATAACCGAAAACTATTTGGAACTATAAAACTATTGTCATCACTGCACATAAATGCCTTTTAAAATAATCATTTAGTTTTTCACACTTGACTTAATTATTTACGAGTGACAGAAAGGATACGAGAGCATATCCTACATAAATTCCTTATAAAATAAAAGATTGAGCTAAAATGTCACTGTCAAAGGGAAACCTATAATATGATGTATAAAGTATGCGAAATGCAGTTTATATGCTGTCGTTGATTTTTACCAATTCTTTATTAAATACGTATCAACGTAAAGTATAGAACACAATTTCTATTAACATAAGTTTGTTCAATTTCGTTTTTATTAGTAATTTGCAAAATATCACAAAGGAAACACGTTTTATTGAGACAATTAATCATAGACTTGTCACAATAAGTCGATCTTTTGTCGTAAGACGCTTATAAAAAGGTGTTAAGGTTAGAGGTTAAAAAAAATGTGTATGGAATTGGGAGATCAAGAGTTGTAACTAGTTCCCCTAAAAAAATCGTTAAAGCTTCATGTTGCTAGGACTTAAGAAAAGCATCATATTTCACAGGCATTAAGGCGTAAAGAAAAAGGTTGTTTATTGACTTCCAATTAAACAATAGAGCTAAGTAGTCATAAGTTATAAAAAATGTTCTCAAAGGACTTTGACATTTTCTTTTAGGTGAAAGCATTAAAATTTTCAGTTGTAACTTTAAGTAATTAAGCATGAAACGATTTGTCCATAAATGTTGATTATCGCTCGTACTAATTTCTTTCAAAAATGCTTCAAAAAAATGTATTCAATGATGATTCTAATTGGCGTGCTGTTTGACTGATGGAAATTGTTCGACTAGTACAGATCTTCAAAAACACATTTTTTTGTCATATTTTCAGTTTTCAAAAATGTCTAATGCACTGGGCATGAAAGTGTATTTCAAAAAAGATTACCTTTTACCCACTGGAAGGTTTGTAAAATATGTTAACTGAGCAATCTTCAGTGAGAAATGGCGAAGCTCTATTTACTAACGATGAATCACGTTTTTCTAGTTTTAAGGAAAGAGGAGCAAGAAATGCACTAGAAATGCTATCTGATGTACGGTTAAATCACTCTTTGTAATAAAATATATATATACATCATACAAACACATTCTCTTTATATGGGTACATATACCTCTCTAATTTACATAACATTCCTTAATACGTTTACCACTTTCTCTCTCTACTCCATGCATCACTTTATAATACAATATCTACCATCTAATTTACGTATCCTTCTTAAAAAACATTCTCCTTGCCTATCCTCATCTTAGGATCAAAAGAGAAGAGGGGTGATAGCTGCCTCAGATGGAAACCACGCCTTTGCTCTATCATACCACGGGCAACAACTAGGCATTCCAGTCACGGTTGTCATGCCAAAGAATACACCAATTAACAAAATAGCATCGTGTGAAAAATACGGCGCCACTGTACACGAGCTAGGGACGGATCTCATTGAGGTAAGTTAAAGAAACAGTCATTGCTTCTAAACGTTAGCCTAAAACTTGAGGAAAAGATTGTTTGACGTTTTGACATGGCATGAGAAGATTTTGACATAAAAAAATTTCTTGCTCCTCAGCCTTTAAACTTAAGTGCTTATATGAATAAAACGTCAGACATCGAAAATCAGATTGACATGTAAATATCCAAAAATATACTAATATTTACAGAATTACTCTAGAATACACTAGTGCATGTAAAAATATCTTAAGATGTCCTTGTGTGTTTGCAAATATAGTAATGAAGGAAGTAAAAAGACAACTGTTAACTGCTATTTTACGACTTTCTAATTTACTCTAATTTGTTTGGAATATGTTAATTATTTTTACTGTGAGCAAACACTGTTGAAATATAATTTTTCATAGTATATCTTCAATATTTTCACTCTTGAAACTCTAGTTAAACATTTTATGTAATAACAACCCTTCAAACAAGGGACGTATAGCAAAAAGGTTTTTGTGTAGTTTTGACCTTTATGTTGTATTTTCAAAATCTGAAACGCAACTATTTGAATATTCGCAAATTCAATACATATTCTCTTAATAGTCAGAAAACATCGCCCTGAAAATAGCTGCGACAAATGAATTGCAATACATCAACAGGTATATGTAATGCATAACTACAGCAAACATTTTTTACAAGCAGACTCTCACTATGGCATAAAATAGCAAAATTTCCTTCTTAGAAACGTGATCAAAAAATATTTAACAAGTGAGACGACGAATAAATATTTGTTGTGAATTTTTGTCATAAAAGTTGTGTAGTAGAAGATCTGCAAGATCTCAGAAGTATCAATTCAGATAATGCTCACTGTACTTAGGGTATTTGATTACTTTCAAAAATTTATGTTTTCTGACTACTCATTAATTTAAATTTATTTATAAGATGCGACGATCCCAGCATTATTGCAGGAGCCGGAACAATGGGTCTGGAGATTATGCAACAAATAAAGGATGCTGATGCTGTCATTATTCCTGTTGGTGGTGGCGGGTTGATTGCAGGTGTTGCCGTTGCAGTGAAGGAGTTAAGACCAGAAACCCTTGTCATCGTGAGTAACTGTCATAGTGCTAAAGTAGAGAATATTTGATGGATATCAGACATTTTAAATGAACGACGAGTTTTTTTAATCGTAAACATGTTTCGGCATGCTTATGCCATCTTCAGTACATAGAATGAAGGAGATTATGCTGTTTACATGATATATATATATATGTGTCTGTGACTATCGTTAAGTGTATTAAATTACAGAATTAGTTTTAGATATTATATTACAGGTTAAATATTGTATTAATGTGGTATATTTGTTTGTTGAGGTCTGGTTTGAGCTTTTTAATGTAGAGCGCTTCTTTCAGTATAAGAGAAAAAGGAGAGTTGGCGGTGTCTAAGATGCGAAAACATGAATGGTTTTATTTTGATTTGCGATGTGGTGAAGTGTGAAGATGTTTATAAATATGTGAGTTTTTGCCGGAATGTGTGTGTTCTTTGATGCGTGTGGAGAGATGGCGAGTTGTCTCACCAACGTAACGGGAATTACATCCCGCGCATGAAAATTTATAAACCACGCAAGATTTGAGTAAAGATGGAATACTATTTTTAAAACTAAAACGATTTTTTATTTTGTAAGGTTAGAAGATCAATTTGATTTTTAAGTCAACGCAAAAGCGTTTTGTTAACTTCCGTAGTTTTTGTTGAGTGGTGTGTGAGTATGAGCCAATGTAAGGAAGTTTGAAATAGTATATGTTTGGTTTGTTTTGGTTAGGTTCATCTGATGCTTGTGTGTCTCATTGTATTTTGTCGTTGAATGATTTTATGACTTTGTCTATGAAATGGACAGGAAAAGACAGGAGAGTTTTATAAAAACTCTCCTTGAACGCATCCACAGAATAAACAATACAACAAACGGCTGCGAAAATGACATAAACACACTAATTGAAACTTTAAAACGCAATTCTTTTCCTGCCCATTTTATAGACAAAGTCATAAAATCATTCAACGACGAAATACAACCAGACAAACAAGCATCAGATAAACATAACCAAAACAAACCAAACATATACTATTTCAAACTTCCTTACATTGGCTCATACTCACACACCACTTAACAAAAACTACGGAATTTAACAAAACGCTTCTGTGTTGACTTAAAAATCAAATTGGTCTTCTCATCTTACAAAATAAGAAATCTTTTTAGTTTGAAAAGCAGTATTCCATCTTTACTCAAATCTTGCGTGGTTTATGAATTTTCATGTGCGGGATGTAATTCCCGTTACCTTGGTGAGACAACTCGCCAGCTCTCCACACGCATCAAAGAGCACACACATTCCGACAAAAACTCACATATTTATAAACACCATCACACTTCACCACATTGCAAATCAAAATAAAACCATTCATGTTTTCGCATCTTAGACACCGCCAACTCTCCTTTTTCTCTTAAACTGAAAGAAGCGCTCTACATTAAAAAGCTCAAACCAGACCTCAACAAACAAATATACCACATTAATACAATATTTAACCTGTAATATAATATCTAACACTAATTCTGTAATTTAATACACTTAACGATCGTCACATACATATATATATATATATATATATATCATGTAAATAGCATAATCAACTTCATTCTATGTACTGAAGATGGCATAAGCATGCTGAAACATGTTTACGATAAAAAAACTCGTCGTACATTTAAAATGTCTGATATCCATCGTGCTTTTAAGAAATTGATGGGTATTCTTGAATTTTTATCCAACTTTAAAATTCAAAGAGTGTAAAAATTAACAATGCGTTATTAATTTATAGGGTGTCAAATCGGAGCGCTGTGCAAGTTTTACTGCTGCAATGAACGGTGAACAAGTAAAAATAGGTGTCAATCAGGCGATGACTTTGGCTCCAGGTAAATTATTGACCTTTTTCTAATATCATTATTTGATAGTTAATAATCAGCAAAGCAATTATATCATTGGCTGGGTAACATGTTGATTTAACTATTATTGGCTAACGGCAAATAATTGACGTGATTGTAATATTATTGGCTGACGATGTACTGAGAATATTGGCTTTCGGTAAATCATTGATTGAAAAGAAACATAATTGGGCGATCAGCATGGCCAACTGTAAGATTATTCGTTAAAGGTTTTTGATTTGAATTGAAAGAGGACGCAAATTGTAATTTATAGGGCATTGAATCAGAGCAATGTCCAAGTTTTACTGCAGCAAAAAATAAGGGTGAACTAGTAAAGATAGATGCAAATAAGGATATAACATTGGCTGATGGTAAATTATTGACTTTCTTTTTTCATGTCATTACAGATAACAATAAAATATTGACGTAACTGTAATGTAGTTGGTGAACAATAAATCAATGACTTAGATATAATATCATCGGGTGATAGATTTTTAATGATGTAGCTGCATTTTAATTGGCTACTGGAAAATCCTAAAACAACTGTAAGATTGTTTTGGCTTTTTATAAATCATTGAACAAAAAGAAACATCGTTTGGTGGTAGGAATCGTTAAATCAAAAACTAACTGTTAGATAATTGGAGCGCCACTAAAGCATAACGGGCTAACTGCTTGTTTTTAACGTATGTCACTCGTGTGAAATAGTTAAATCATCTTTTCAAACCCCTATTCTTTTGCAGGTTTATGCGTTTCAAAAGTTGGCATAAATGCCTTTCATACAGCAGAACCTCTTATTGATAGAATGATCACAGTACAGTAAGTATTGACAAAGAAATAAAGAATAGTTTAACACATGATATTACATTCACTTTTCATTCATGCATGCAGTTTCATGATACTCAATGAGTGCCTATCAATAAAGGGTTTGCACCCGCTCCTGTGCTTTATCTTCAGTTATTTACACATTTTGAGCATAATGTTTCTGTTTATTTTATACGCAAGGCTCGTTACCATGACAGCAAGTTTTACAGTTTAATTTACTTATCATAATTTTTCAGTTCTTTAAAAAATGTTTTATGTAGGTTTTTCATATGTAATATTCTCATTAGAGCATACTTTAAAAAACATGTTCGTAGATGTAGGGCGTCCAAGTTAGTAGAAGCCTGGCATGGAATATTGGCGTCGAAACGTCAGTCAACATCAACAACAACGGTCCTTCTCACAACTCAACTAACCTGGCCGATTTACATCTACAAACATGTAATACTACTCCCGGCTTCAAACCATTTACTTTTTTTTCAAAAAAGATTGATTTTTTCTCCAGAAAAAGCTAATATTATTTAAATATTCCCTGTTTTGTAAAAGTTATAATAAAATAGAGTTTCTAAGGAAGAGTCAACATTTGAGCTTTGTACTGTATTACTTAATTTACTACACAGTGAAGATTACATCGCACTAGCTGTACTACGATTGCTCGAGGAAGAGAAAGTTACAATTGAAGGTGCTGGTGCAGTTGGTCTTGCTGTCTGCCTTACAGAACAAGTGCCCGAACTAAAAGAGAAAAAGTAGGTGTAATTTTTTTAAGATTTAATTCATAAAAAAGTGTATTGTTGAGTATTTTCCTCTATCGATTTCCGTTTTTTCAAAAGAGGAAAAGCCGTTGAATGTCAAACTAGTGTCTTTATTGGGATTGATCTAATGTTGAAACTTAAGACCTCATATACTCCAGTCTAGTGTCTTCATCTTGAGTGATCTGATGCTGAAATTAGAGTTTTTATATATTCTGCTTTAGTATGTTGATTAGGAGTGATCTGTGCATGGTAAAATATATATAGTAAGAGTAATATGATACAGTTATAGCTTATTTGAGTTTTTTACATATAAATATTACAATGAAGTATTGGTTTGAAGAAATGATGAGTTTAGTTAGAGAATGAGTATAGTGTTCAAACTTGAACATTAAGATTAATGTAAGTTTTGTTAATGTGAAATGCTTTTCTGCTTTTAAGTGAGATCAAAATCAAATTGGCGTGTCGCCAATGAATAGAATTAGAGATAGGATCTTTAAATGAAAAGTAATTTATAATTTTGGACGAAGTGAAAATTTGTTGGTAATGTTTGATAATTAGACCGATAGCGTAGACGACGGTGCAGCAAACACAATGGTTTGTTCCAGTATTACACTTAAACTAATAATCGGAAGCTATAATACAGTATAAAATATATGAATGATGGTACTATTTTACTTAAGATAAATCCCTCCCAATGCTTACTTACATTTGTGCTAACTCAACTATTAATTTAAACAAATAACACATAAAATATACCTCATTTTCTGCACAATTCAAGAGCTTTCCCCGAGCCTCTTGCTTGAAAACAGTAACTGATAATGATCTCAAGCTCAACGCTATGAATAATCAATTACTTTATATAATATAAATAAAGCAAAACCAAACTTAATGGAGCAATAATATTTGTAAGTCTGCGTTGTGTGCGTCATTAATGATATTTGATGAATGGTAGTTTGAAGTCGAGTTTTTATGGATTATTTTCGTGGTTGTTGTGTCGCAAGTTTTGTTGCATAATTTGCAATTAGTACTATTGTTTCACAGGTATTGTTTGACATTTCTGTTTATGAAGTGGATATGTAGTGGGGAAGAGTTGCGTAATTTGCGCAGAGAGTTGCGAAGAGATTTGATGCTCATCATCTATTTTTAAAATCATTGACACTGCAGAAATTACATTTTCATTTGAAATTAAAGCACCACTTCAAATTGATAAAACTTACCCAATATGTAAATACATTCATCATTAATCAAACCAATATTATATTGCATTACTATATTGCAATAATATCTATTATATGGCAATAATGTCACTTCCGCCAAAATAGAGCGCTTTGATTGACTTAGAAGCATTTTTGCCGGTCCATTGTTTTCTATAATGTATCACGGTCCAAAAAATGTATTTTCTAGAGCCAAATGTAAACAAACTTTGGTCAGATATTTTTTTCCGTAAAACCTCGAGCTTGGTTAATAAGGGCTTAATAATCTACTTACATTTGCATAAACTATCACTGTATAATATTACTATATATATATATATATATATATATATATATATATATATATATATATATATAAAATGAACTAAAATAAAATGGACAATTGTTTGCTGTCGCTACTCGGAGTTTCACGCCGTAGGGCGATCTTCAGGCAACTGACAGATTATATTTTATTTGCTGACTATATACATCGGCTAAAAGGTGTTAAGTTACATGACGGCATGCACTAAACATATCGGAACGTTTATTTAAAATGTTCTGTTTACGTCCTTTCAGGATAAGTAGCCTTTCTTCAAGGCAAAGACGGCAGGTTCTTTGGTTTTTGTTGGGAGGTGGAAGTTGTTTGATGAAGTCCCATTTAATGTTGTAGTTACGTTCGTTTTCTTTCAGTGTCCACGTGTATTTAGAAAGTTCTGTCTCGTTCCGGTATTTAATGTTCGTAATGGATTTAATGTGGTTTCGATATCGTGTCTTAAAAGCGCATGCAGTAACACCTATGTAAGTTTTGTTTCGTTGTTGTCAGTCGTTGTCACGTCTTTGTAAATCACGTTGGTTTCAGGCAATTGCCATTTGTCGGCATAGATGTTTCTGTCTGCAGTTACATTTCTTTGGTGGGTTGTTCTTGTTCTGGGTTGTGTCTGGGTTAAGTCTTTTTAAAATAGTCTTGTTGTGTCTGGTTATGAAAGTTTTCATGTTTTCGCCGCAGCTGTAGCTTACGCGTATTGTGTGTCGGTTGAATATCTTGGAGAGTATAGTATTTGGTGGGAAATGCTTCTCGAAATGCTTGTCGAACTGCAGACAGAAACATCTATGCCCGACAAATGGCAATTGCCTGAAACCCAACGTGATTTACAAAGCCGACGTGACAACGACTGACAACAACGAAACAAAAACTTACATAGGTGTTACTGCATGCGCTTTTAAGACACGATATCGAAACCACATTAAATCCATTACGAACATTAAATACCGGAACGAGACAGAACTTTCTAAATACACGTGGACACTGAAAGAAAACAAACGTGACTACAACATTAAATGGGACTTCATCAAACAACTTCCACCTCCCAACAAAAACCAAAGAACCTGCCGTCTTTGCCTTGAAGAAAGGCTACTTATCCTGAAAGGACGTAAAAAGAACATTTTAAATAAACGTTCCGATATGTTTAGTGCATGCCGTCATGTAACTTAACACCTTTTAGTCGATGTATATAGTCAGCAAATAAAATATAATCTGTCAGTTGCCTGAAGATCGCCCTACGGCGTGAAACACCGAGTAGCGACAGCAAACAATTGTCCATTTTATTTTAGCTCATTTTATATATATATATATATATATATCATGTATTGTATACAATATATCCTCGTCTTAAAGATGGCATCATAAGAAGTCGAAGCATGTTTTTTTAAACTTGTCGTACTCGTTACACATGCATTATAAATAATGCTTTTACAATGTTATGCTAAAACTTAATTCCTTATTTACTGTAATATAGTTTCTTCATTAGGAGTGATCTTATGTTGAAACTTTTATCTGTTTATTATTTGCTTCTAGTCTATTATTTGCTTCCAGACTAGTTTGATATTAAAATTTGAGTGCTTATTTTACTGCAATCTAGACTATTTGTTGGGAGTAATCTTATGTTGAAATTTGTGTTATTATATACTCCAGTCTAGAATGTCCAATGTTTTGATCAAGATAGATATATTCTTGAGTTATTGTGTATTTGAGTGATGCCCCTTAATTTACAAGAAACTATTTTTTTAAAGAAATGAATATAACGCTCTAATGTCGTGTTTAGGGTTGTCATTGCTCTTTGTGGTAGAAACATTGATTCAATTGTGTTGGGAAGGTGTTTGGATCGTGGCCTGGCAGCTGATGGTCGTTTGGTGCGTTTCGTGGTCACAGTAAGTGACAGACCTGGAGCTATAGCTGGTGTTACTCAACTGGTGGCCAATGTTGGAGCAGACGTTAAAGATATTTTCTACGAAAGAGCTTGGTTGTTTTCAAGTGTATTCAGCGTCCAGGTAATGCACTGCATGATCAGCATAGGGATATTTTATATATAAGATGTCTTTACCATAGTAACTATATTACATCAATTTGATCTTGGTGTATAAGTACTTATTTTATAGTGCGGATGATACATAAGAAAACAATGTACACGATGTCTTAATTTATAAGAAATTTCAGCTTATAATTTTATACCTCCTTCCTGTATCATATGTAGGTCAAGATTGTTGCCAGGGTGCGAGACCGTAATCATGGAAAAAAACTCAAGGAAGCTTTGATTTTAGACTACAGCGACGAAGCAGTGATTTGGCCTTCTTTCGATAACGGTTCGCAATGATAATGTTAAATACATTTTACCTAATTTACAAACAGCCCAAGACTCGCACCTATAAATTATATCAATGCCATGATTAATTATCGTATAACAGTAGGTATTATTGTAAACATAAAAAGATTTTTTCAGCATGAGATCTTCATGAAGGAGACTTCACGCTTTTCACCAGTCACACCTCACATAATGTCTTAATCATGTGAGATGCTTTGGTAATTACACTATTTTTTTGTGAGTTATGACTAATTGCATTATCGTAGGTTCTGGTAAAAGGGGATCAGATCAGAAGGATAATGATGTTGACATCGCTGCCAAGCCTTCTGGAAAAAGGCCAAGTAAGTTAAGACACTACCTTGAAAATCTTAAAATGCTGTGTTAAACGCAGACAAAAATTCTAAAATTTCTAGTTATTGAATCATTTAACCTTTCATTTGTAAGTGAAATTAGTTTAATTTTTTTTTTATCATGACACAAGACGGCGATTTTACAGTTGCTAAAATCATGCAACATACCACATTGGTATGTTGATTGTGATTGGCTAAGAGCCTGCAAATAGTTCTCGATGTGTTGCCACCTACAAAATATAAAGAATTTTCTGTTGTAACTGTTCACATGAAAAGTGTAGACAAAAAAGCATATGGCGGATCTTGCTTGAGATTTAGAAGCGTTTTAAGTAAAGTTGTTGCTCAATTCATTAAGAATAAGGATGTAAAAAAAAACACCAAAAGAGCTACACTGTCGGTCGGGAAAGTTTTTATCAAGTATTAAAGAGAAAAAGAGGAAGTCGGACTGCAAAAAATTTTATTGTCAAAGCACGGAAACTTTATGGCTTCCTTAAAAAATAGTTTGAAAGCTTCTGCATTTATAATTGTATAATAAAACAATGTCAGCTTGGTATCATAACATTGACCGGGCTCTTAATAATTCTTGATAACATGCGATATACTAGTTTGATGGTTATTACTAAAGAATAGTTTGACAAGATTGGGAAACTTTTGTTCAGTAAATTTTAAATATTGTCATTTGTGTGTTATGTTGGTAGCTGAGCAATACAGTACAGCTAAATCTTTTCTTAGAGGAATTATACTGGAACTCGTTTTCAGCTGTTACTAAATCAAATAAAACACACAATGTTGAAACGTTAACGAAATCAAGAAGAACAGCATAACGTTTATTGTTTCAATGTACATGTGACTATCATCAAAAATTATTGGAAAGACACAGAAGCAATACATGTAGCCCATTATATGAGAAAATTTATGGCTAGACACACCATTAATTTTAAGGTTTAAGCTATCTTACAATAATAACAGATTTGACTGCATATCTAGAATATTTAGCATATTCAATCGTTGACGGTAGGTTTTTTTGCTAAAATGTATAGTATAAAATCCTGTGTGCTCAGTTGAGGAATTTTGAGCTAATATTATGTTTTTTATTGTATTCGTTTACTTGAATATAATACGTTTATGTTCGTTTTAAGAATTGCAGTCGCAAGAGTGGAAATTCATAGGTGAATCAGCAAAACATAAAGAAATGCTTTCAAAAATGACCGAATTTTGGTCGAATACCGGAGAATTTTGTAAGGTTGTGGGAGATGTACGTGTGATATTCTTAAACGAGTTTTGCATTGGCAGAGGAAGCGATGGAAGCCGTGTTTTTCTGGGACTGAGCAAGAATGGTTACGGCAAGGCAGTGAAACGAATATTTCGAGATAAGTGCATTGATTTTGCTCATAAAGAAAAGGCAATTTTAAATAAATTCAACGCAAAGCAGTCGAAATATGTTGTCAATTATTACTACTTAGAAGAGGATACTGGAACTGAATATGTGTATCTTATATTAGACTTATGTGAAGACTCACTAAAGAATTTTGTCACATCGTCTACTTTGCAAGATCGTAAAAAAGCTCTGCCAGAAGTTCTTAAAAACATTTTGAAAGGATTAGCTGATCTTCACAGTGGACAAGAAGCAATTCTTCATCGAGATTTGAAGCCATCCAATGTTCTTCTAGACTCACAAGGCAATTTTCTTATTGCAGACTTTGGTATTAGTGAAATTTTGGAGAATGAAACAAACACATATGAAAGCAAGGCTAACAAGGGAACTGAGTATTGGATAGCTCCTGAATCATATTGTGAGGTTGAAGATTCAATTGATAAAGGACGGTACAAAAAAGAATCTGACGTATATGTAGGTGTAGGAATGTTAACATTTACGTGTTATACACAAACTCAATTATGTGGCATTGTATTGTTGCTGTTACAACTTTTATATTTTTCTAGAATGCTGGACTGGTGGCTTATTATGTTGCAACAAAAGGAAAAAATCCTTTTGGAACTAAACGGCATAGATTGGATAACATGTTGAATGGAGACCCTGTTAGCTTGAAAGAACTTAGTGATGAAAGCTTAAAAGACCTTCTGTCGTGGATGTTAAATCTGCAACCCGAAGACAGACCATCTGCTAACATGGCGTTAAAACACCCATTTCTGATGTCAGATGACGAGAAATTTGACTTGTTATGTATTGTTGGTAACGAATTGCCTACTACGACGAATGATACCCAGTCAAGTGTCGCTAAACAATTGGATAGCGAAAATTCAGAATGGAAAAGTAAAATAGATCGTGAAGTATATGACTTTTTAAGAACGGATGAGGTGCGTGGAGAAATACATAGGTATAGATCTTCATGGACAGAATGCTTAAGACTTATTCGAAATACTGATCAAAAATGGGGTCGAATATCAAAGCGAAGTTCTCTACCAGAACTGTTTTATAAGTATGGAAATCACAAGAAATACTTTCTCGAAACATTCCCAAATCTCCCTGTTCGTGTCCATGTTGCTATCAGGTCAAACGACGAATTGAAAAACTGTCCAAAAATAAAAAAGATTTTAATATACAGTTGTTAGACTGCAAAAACATTTGTTTTAAAAGGCAAATGGCAAGTACAAAATCGAAAATACAGTTTTTAAAGATCTTCTTTTGCATGAATGCAAAGCAATTTTTTCTGATAATGCATAAAAACGTTCTTGGTGAATTTATTGTATTCAACGTAATTATTGATACTTTATTAATTTTTAATTCTTAAATAGACTTTAGGGTAAGATTAAAGATATTTACTTTTGAATTTTGCATGTTTAAGATATAGAGATGTAATGTACCTTCACCCAATGTAAAAACTATCATTGCAACAAAGATAATAATCACAACGTTTTACATCATTTTGTAGCACATTAGTTATGGTATTATAATAACTAAACTCATTCAATTGAATAAAACTAATACGTTACCTGTTGCTGTAATTTTGAAGCTGCTCTCTCGGATAGAAACTAATCTACGATAAGCTCGTTTCAACTTATTAACATATGTACTTTTTTTTTATTTAGACTGTTTTTAATTTCGCCTGTCATTTTCTTAATGGAAAAAGTTCTGGGCGTGAAAACAGTGCTAACACATTTTGAAAGAGAAAATATACACAGAGCTGCAACCTGAAATAACTTATGTGAAAATTGAATGCTGTAATTTTTAAAAAATTAAAAAACTTGATTAGCCAATTGCAGTTGAGTGTCTTTTTGAAAATAATAGCGTATGCACCACTTCAAGGCATCCAGCATGGAGACAGAAAAATTTTTCAAACAAATTGAAAAGTTCACAATATTTTTCGGGATTTTTTTCGTCTTTTTTAAAAGCTAAGTATGGATTCATTTCGAAAAATGATCCTATTTTTTAGTGATATAATTATTATTTTGAATTCATGTTTGTTTTTTAGGTATTATTACTTTATATAAAGGTATGTGCTCGTAACTGCGATGATAGTTGCCTACCTTTGGTAAATATATAAAATATACATAATCGACTAATGCAAAATTTGCGGCGCACGGTCTGTTACGATGGGATGGGCCGAGTTATCGTTTGTTTGTACAATTTACTGATTTATTGGGCCGCCTTTGGTAGTTTCGACGATTGCTGAAACAAACTCAATTTTTGGACAGAAACGAGGATATATCACTCATATTTGCGTCTTAGAATATTATATAGGCATACATATCTTTACCTTTAAAGTAAAAACTGCGAATGTTTTGTTTCCTAAAGCGTAAAAAACAAACAAATAAACATTGGGGAGCCTGCTCTGATTTTGGGGGTTTCCTCGGAGTCAAAACAATTTTATTCAAAAAGCCGTATGTCGATGATTTTGCTTTTATATATATATATATATACTTTGAAACAATACTGCTGGAAATTTTTATATCAAAAAATTAGTTTAAAATGATAGAAAAACGATCCAGCCAGAAAATGCCGAAATTGGTAGAAGACTTGTTTCATACTATTCTTTGACGAAGTCCTACAATAAGATTAACAAAGTGTTCTGAAGCGTCAATGACGAGTAGCATTTCTTCAAGCAGTTGCCCTTCGAGCTCTACAAGTCCGTTAAGTTCAACTTCAAGTACCCCAAATCTGTTTACAACTGGTACAGGACAGGCTAGACCAATATTATCCTTTCAAAACTTCCAAAGTATGAAGGAAAATACCAAGAAAAGCCAATTTAAGTCGCCTAAACACCTGACTACAATTTTGAAGGATATAGCATTTCATGTCGAAATGTCTGAACTTTTGCAAATATGAAATTGAGTTGAAAAATCAGCAGCTAAAATCTGGAAATGCTCAAATGCACGGTGGCCGATCGTAGGAACAAAATCTTCGCAAGAAATAAGATTGGTACATTTCTTTTCAAGAACTAGAGACTCTTTACTTTGATCTCCAGGGAAATTGTATAAAGAAAGCTCAGAGCTTCATTTGTTGTTCGAAGAGCAATCACATGCAAAAAATTAAAATCCACACACACCCTTTTTTCGTTTTGTTGACAATACATCGTCTAATGTAGATTCGCCGTGACTCTCAGAGCTAAAAGTCTCCTAAAGACACGGCAATAATTCTCAAAAAAACTGGGGCCCTCATTTGCATTTCTTTGCTCAGAAACATGACTAAGAACAGCGGTAAATGCACTTTTACTATTGGGCCATATTGCAATGTTTTCATGTGCGCGAATACAAAGACTATAAAGGGGCGCGCACCACGCGCATTGTGACGTAATAATGCAAGTTGTCTATTACGTTTGCTTGTTGCTCATTGAAATTACTACAAGGAGTATATATATGTATAGATTGGTTCACGTACAGTTTTCATTTTTTTCAAACTCATTGACCATTTTTTTTTACCATACAAAATAAATATATAACGTGGAATACATGTTACAAAAAAACAGCACTTAATTAATGTTTGGTAAAGCAATTAAAATTATTCACGCTGAGGTTTGCAATGTGTAGTAGCCGTAATTCGATTTTGTGTTAAATTCAAATGCGTTCATACCTCCTTGAGGATAGTTACTGCTGAATCATCAAGTTCTAAACTTTGGGTTACTTTGGGTTACTTATTGGGCACGTTTTTCAGCCACAATAAGTTTAAGAAGAACCAGCTGTAACATTAATAATAGGTCTAGTGACTGCTTACAACCAATGAGCCCACAAAACATTTACAAATCTACAATTACAAACATTATACAATTATTCCCATTGCACAAAAATAAAAGTTTCTTGGATTTCACAAACATTATCTTACAAACAACTCTACCTCAACACAAACGCATATATCACAAACATCTCAAGCAAGCCACTTACCAACGAGCAAACTAAAATTCTAAACAAAGGATTAAATTACAACTTTAAGGACGCGAACAAACTTGACTACGTTGCCGAAAGAAGACATTGGTGACAAAATCACCAATAACATTTGCCACAAACCACCAGTCACCCTAAACAACTAAAAACTACGAGCAATTAAAAACCTACAAAACGACGACCAAATGATCATATTATGAGCTAACAAAAAACGCAAAACAGTTATCATAGACAGATCAGATTACATCGACAAAGCCAAACCCTCCTACAAGACATCACCACCTACGAACCTCTCCACACAGACCCCAGCAAAATGACCACCAACCGCATCAACCAGAAACTGAAACAACTAAAACACAAAAAGAAACTGACCAAAAACGATTACAGAAGAGTCCGACCCAATGACGCATCCACCGCCAAAACATCAGAAAGGACTGCCAGATTTCTTCGACCATTTAATATTAACGTCGCCTACAAACCTACACATAAACTGAAATCGTTTTTCACGAAACATAACAGATACCAGGCCATAGCCTTTGCTCCCATGACCGGGGAAAGCAGCCCGTTTTACCAAACATATAGACAAAACATCAATTCACGATACAACTGACGCGATCTACACGATACCATGTAAAGACTGCTCAAAGCAATACATAGGAGAAACATCGAAGAAAATCGAAACAAGACTCACAGAACACAAAAACACCATAAAACGACGAGATCCGAACTCTCTACCAGCAGGACATACCCATGGAAACAACCACACATTCGACTGGACAAAATCTAAAGTACTCGGAGGTTCGCAAAGACTAAACGCGCACATGAATTTAAAGAAGCTTGGTACTGTAATGATAACGACACTATAAACAGACATATCGACATACCCATCATATACTCACAACTTAAGAAAAAGGACAATAAAACTACAAACAACACCCAAACTACATCATCACTATCTAATAATATTAACACCGATCAAATTCACAATACACCAAAACCCATGGCAACACATTTCACCCCATCCAATCACATTACTCCTCCCGCTAATCAAATTAGACGCTCTAAACGTCTACAAGCTAAAAGTGTAAATAGATAAATCCTTTTTCCGATGAAGGCTCGAAGCAACAAGTCAAAAGCTTAATAAAATTATTTTTGAAATCCGGAGAAACTTGTGTTTTTGAATAATATAATGCCTGGATTGCTAATCTTTAAACATAATTATTTACATGTATATGCTCTTCTCAACTTCTTGCATCCAAACAACATTGTATGCACAGTCTCGGCGTTGGCAGATCGTAAGCCATCTTGTCCGCGATTGTTATTTTGCACTTTTGACATTGTACGACAAATAACGGACGACATACTTCTTTCACATGAAAACTGGCTGGATTCATGATCGATTTTATTGATCATGGCTAAACATATTTAAACAATTCGAGCAGATTTACACATTTTTGACGCTTCAGTGAATTTAGAGTAAGATAGTTTTTACTGCATTTTGCAGATTTTTCAACACACCTAATTCATCTGGCATTTTCGGAACTACTTGTATATATATGTACATATATTACGGATGATATTCCTGGATAAAAGAGCGCTCAATATTCTATATATTAGAAGAGCGTAAGATAAAATAAACTAAAAAAAAATGGACAATTGTTTGCTGTCGCTACTCGGAGTTTCACGCCGTAGGGCGATCTTCAGGCAACTGACAGATTATATGTTATTTGCTGACTATATACATCGACTAAAAGGTGTTAAGTTACATGACGGCATGCACTAAACATATCGGAACGTTTATTTAAAATGTTCTTTTTACGTCCTTTCAGGATAAGTAGCCTTTCTTCAAGGCAAAGACGGCAGGTTCTTTGGTTTTGTTCGAGGTGGAAGTTGTTTGATGAAGTCCCATTTAATGTTGTAGTTACGTTTGTTTCTTTCAGTGTCCACGTGTATTTAGAAAGTTCTGTCTCGTTGCGGTATTTAATGTTCGTAATTGATTTAATGTGGTTTCGATATCGTGTCTTAAAAGCGCATGCAGTAACACCTATATAAGTTTTTGTTTCGTTGTTGTCAGTCGTTGTCACGTCGGCTTGTAAATCATGTTGGGTTTCAGGCAATTGCCGTTTTTCGGGCATAGGTGTTTCTGTCTGCAGTTACATTTCTTTAGGGGGTTGTTCTTGTGGGTGCCCACGACTTCCTACAACTTATCAACAAACATTTCCCACCAAATACTATACTCTCCAAGATATTTTCCGACACACAATACGCGTAAGCTACAGCTGCGGCGAAAACATAAAAAAACTTTCATAACCAGACACAACAAGACTATTTTAAAAAGACCTAATCCAGAAACAACATAGAACAAGAACAACCCCCTAAAGAAATGTAACTACAGACAGGACATCCTGAAAGGATGTAAAAAGAACATTTTAAATAAACGTTCCGATATGTTTAGTGAATGTCGTCATGTAACTTAACACCTTTTAGTCGATGTATATAGTCAGCAAATAATATATAATCTGTCAGTTGCCTGAAGATCGCCCTACGGCGTGAAACTCCGAGTAGCGACAGCAAACAATTGTCCATTTTATTTTAGTTCATTTTATGTACATATATATATACTTTGTTGGAGTGTTCGAGTACGAAATTCACAATCGATGCAAAAATTATCAATTCATACAATATTTGACATACCGCGCTAGCTATGTTTGTGACTGCCTGCCATACGTGGGGGGATATTATGTGGAAGAATGAAAAAAATGTTTCATTTTGGAAAATAAAGTCTTATAGCATCATTCCATATGATTTATTCTCTAGTAAAGTTAAAAGTCTAATATATGAAATTTTGAATTATCTGGCTTGCAGTGATGTACTGTGCAACCACAGGCTCAGGTATGTTTGTTATTTTCAGATAACATCTGTAATTGCCACTTAACGTAATTAAATCACAAATACAAAACAATTTCTAAGTACTCTTACGTCTAAATAAAATCAAAACAATAATTTAACGAGTCACGTCTTGTTATTTTTCTTGCGCAAAGCGGAAAATTTTGCCAATAAATTCCGGACTTGTCAAAATTAGTCGACGTTGTTTGTAAGACGCTTATAAAAATGTTTATTAGACTCAGAGGTTAGACATGAAACATGTCTAGTAAGTTCTATAGAAGTTAAAAATAAACATCACAAATTCCACAGGCATTAGTGCGAAAATTAAATTGGTTGTCAATATTCGCCAACGCAAGTACTGTAGCTAAAGTTAACAGAGTTTTTGTTGAAGATTTTGTGGAGAGTTGAAGAGAGCGAGAAATGCAACGTTTTGTTTTTACATTCTTACAGTAAGGTATATTTAAGCCACAGGATTTTTTTTATTGAGATATTTTTCGTGAATTTTTGGATTGGAGCTGTACTTCCTGTTGGTTTTATGGTGACTTATTTACAGGAATCCATACAAATACTAGACTCGCTCTTTAAAATATGTTCATCTGACGATAGATATGAGAGACTACAGTCTACAGAGTTTTGTAGTTTCCAAAGAACACAGCATTTAACAAAACATTTCTATCTCTTTATGTCATACCGAGTCTTATATCCATTAATAACAAAGTTTTGTATTTGACTTTCACAATCGATGCAAATTGTAAATATTCATAGGAAATTTGACATACTGCGCTATCTTTGTGACTGCAAGTCGTATGTGTGGGAAAGTTATGTGAAAAATGAGAAAAATGTTTCATTCTCGTTTCAAGTCTAAGTAGAACCATTCCACTTAGAAATTTTGCGTCGTGAAGTTAAAAGTTTAAAATATGAAAACTTTAGCATTGCAGTGATGTACTGTAGAGTAGCAGGTATAGAGACAATTATTATTTTCAGATTACATTTCTGCCACGTAACATAATTAAATTACAAATACAAAGCAAATCTTTCACTTTCTAAATAGCTTGTGCAACGTTAAATTCTGCTTATGAAAATTACCGGTCGAATAATTTATATAATTGTCATGAACAGTCTCAGCGCAGTTTGAAACAACCTTTGAGAGGAAAGTCACTAAAAAATAAAGAGGATTTTTCATAAGTTAGATATTTTTAAAACTAGCAGGTTGTTAAACCTTTTTAAATAAAACAATTTTAGGTGTTAAACCAGTTCTGTCGTGCAATTTCTTCGTGTGAATGTCGACAATGGCGGAATCGACTCCTTCAAGTTCTTTGGAAGGCAATGAATTGAATGAAATGAGCGAACGTGCCCAGCCAGTTCGTGTTACGTTTGATGATGTGTCAACAGCTCAGTCAAGAATCCAAGATAGCGTGCCTCAAACTCCTTGCGAGGTAACATAATGTTGCGCATTTACTAAAATAACAAGTTTGAGCAAAACTTCACTGTCAAATAAAAACTTACTTTAGTATGATCAAAAAACTATGTGAAATGCAGTTTGATTATCGTCATTTAACATTTTATTTGCTTGTTGACTTTGATTGATTTTTTACTTAAATACCTATGAAATTAAAGTATTGAACATAATTTCTATTTAGATACGTTTAATTCAATTTCGTAATTATAAGCAAGTTACAAAAATATCACAAAGCGGACACGTTTTACTAAGCCAATAAATCCTGGACTTTTGACAATTAGTTGACGTAGTTTGTTAGACGCTTCTAAAAGATGTTTATTATACTTAAAGGTTAGTAAAATTATGGGTCAAAAATAAAAAATACTGACCAGTTACGGCCAGGGGCAGATTTAGACTTTAGCAAACGTTGCAAAAGCAACAGCCAGAATTCTCGAAAAATATCAGTCGCCAAATAATTGCATAAAACAATATATTTTACAAATTTTGTATTGATGTGCAATGCAAGTGAATTCAATAAATTGTTAAATTAAACCTATTCAGTGATTAACATGAAGTATTTACTCATAAATCAAGTAAACGCGATCGCATCGTTAAATCATTCTGATTTCGATATTGCGGAACTCACCACAGTATGTTGCTTAATTTAGCGAAGGTTGGCTGCAGTCAGGCTTGCTTAACCAATCACATTGCTAATTGTGGCAACAGTCGAACGATGTTTAGCCAATCATATCACAAATCATGGCAACAGTGGCAAAAGTTCGATACCATTGTGTAATTTGCTTTATATAACTTAATTTTTGGTGTATGTACAACTTATTTAAGCTTTTTTGGTAACATTCACAATGTCATCTGACGAAACGTTGAAACAACTTCAACATTTGTTAAATAAACCGTTTTCCTTTAAGGAAAAAGCCACAATGAATGTGATTTTATCACTTCGGCAAAAGTGCAATAGAATCATTGCAGCTAAATTGAGTAAGGCCAGAGTCGGCGACACACATGTCCATATATGCCAATTTTCCAAACTGAAGTTCCCTAGAAATAAGGAGTTACGCTGCATATATCACACCCAGTGAAGTAAATTGATGAATAATACGTACAAAACTGGATTTCACATGAAATTTGACAAATTTTGTAACTGACTCGACTTTATGATGCACTGAGTATATACATATTATATAAATCCTAACACGGTTTTTTAGTATGCACATGAAAAGCATGTGACTTGGACGAGATTTGAACTCGCACCTTCGGGATACTAGTCCGCCGCTCTACCTGTTGAGCTACCAAGCCCAACATGGGTATGATGCACTGTATGATGCCCTTTATGCTACTGTGCAAATGAATTGGTATTGTGTCAAATTTTCGATTAAATATGTACTGTAGATTTGCTGCAGACTCAAAGGCTTTATGATTTCTTTCTGCACATGCCTTAAATGTTTCATTTAAGATTATTTCAATTGAATGGCTTGTTTCAGAATATGTATTTGAATTCATTTGTCATTTCCAACATCTGCGGCGGTGACGTGGACAATTCCAAGAGCATTTGAAATTTAAATTTAAATGTCAAATGATTCATTCCTGGATTTGATTATTGTCTATATGGCTTCTATTGTATAGATAGATTATTTATATGAATGCGGATATTCTAATGTAAGTAATGATTGTAGTTATATCATAATGCATATTTTCAAAGCATATGACTTTGATGCAGATGCATATCATGTGTCTTCCCTGTGAAACTGAAAAAAATGTAATGCTGTCATAACTTATAAACTCATTAAAAGATAATGTTTTATTTCTATGTCATTTGCTAATTTGCACTTATCCCATTATATGTCAAAATATAGGACTTCCGGTTATGGCAATTTCTTTATTATTCATGGTCCATTGCAATGTATGGTGAAGCATTGAATTGTTTATAAATATGCCTTATTATTCTTCCCACTTCTTTGATTGAACATTAGCATAAGCACGGTGCATTTTTTGTTGTAAGGAAAATGCATTTGCCATGTATTTATCTAATGCTGAACTTTATTGTATGATGAAAAAGATCCAATTAAGGCTATTTTTGGAGAGCTTTATAGAAATGCTTACGTCATAAGCACTGCAAACTTTCCAAAATTTGTTTCCAAATTTGCAGGAAATCGCTATTCTGACCATATTGAATTTCAAAATTTCGCGGGGGAGGTTGCCCCTACGACTCCATACGGGGGCTCGTTTCGCTACAGTCATGCAAATTGTTGGATCAACCCCTGAGTTATGCATAATGCAACATGAAACATATCTAGTATAAGTTATTTAAATTTAAAAATAAACATCACAAATTCCAATGAAATTAGTGCGAAAAGTAAATTGGTTGTCGACTTTCGCTAACGCAATTACTGTTGCTAAAGTTACAGAGTTTTTGTTAAAGATTTTGTGGAGATTTGAAGAGGGTGAGAAATGCTTTTCTATCAGAAACACGAAATTTTTTGCAACACATTTCTGTCATCTTTGCAGTACTCCAAAATATCTGATGCACTGGGCATGAAAGTTTATTTCAAAAAAGATTACCTTTTACCCACTGGAAGGTTTGTAAAATATGTTAACTGAGCAATCTTCAGTGAGAAATGGCGAAGCTCTATTTACTAACGATGAATCACGTTTTTCTAGTTTTAAGGAAAGAGGAGCAAGAAATGCACTAGAAATGCTATCTGATGTACGGTTAAATCACTCTTTGTAATAAAATATATATATACATCATATAAACACATTTTCTTTATATGGGTACATATACCTCTTTAATTTACATAACATTCCTTAATACGTTTACCATTTTCTCTTTCTACTTCATGCATCACTGTATATTACAATATCCACCATCTAATTTACGTACTCTTTTTTAAAAAACATTATCCTTGCCTTATCCTCATCATAGGATCAAAAGAGAAAAGGGGTGATAGCTGCCTCAGATGGAAACCACGCCTTTGCTTTATCATACCACGGGCAACAACTAGGCATTCCTGTCACGGTTGTCATGCCAATGAATGCACCAATTAACAAAATAGCATCGTGTAAAGAATATGGCGCCACTGTACACGAGCTAGGGACCGATCTCATTGAGGTAAATTGAAGAAACAGTTATTGCTTCTGAACGAATGCCAAAAACTTCAGGAAAAGATTCTTTGACGTTTTGACGTTGCATGAGAAGATTTTGACACAAAAAATTTTATTACTCCTCAGCCTTTGAACTTAAGTGCTTATATGAATAAAACGTCAGACATCGAAAATCAGATTGACGTGTAAATATCCAAAAATATACTAATATTTACAGAATTACTCTAGAATACACTAGTGTATGTTAAAATACCTTAAGATTTCCTTGTGTGTTTTTACAAATATAGAAATGAAGGAAGGAAAAAGACAACTGTTAATTGCTATTTTACGACTTTCTAATTTACTCTAATTTGTTTGGAGCATGTTAACTGTCTTTACTGTGAGCAAACACTGTTGAAATATAATTTTTCATAGTATCTCTTCAATGTTTTCTTTCGTGAAACTCTAGTTAAACATTTTATGCAATGGCAACCCTTCAAACGAGGGACGTATAGCAAAAAGGTTTTTGTGTAGTTTTGACCTTTATGTTGTATTTTTAAAAACTGAAACGCAACTATTTGAATATTCGCAAATTCAATACATATTCTCTTAATAGTCAGAAAACATCGCCCTGAAAATAGCTGCGACAAAAGAATTGCAATACATCAACAGGTATATGTAATGCATAACTACAGCAAACATTTTTTACAAGCAGACTCTCACTATGGCATAAAATAGCAAAATTTCCTTCTTAGAAACGTGATCAAAAAATATTTAACAAGTGAGACGACGAATAAATATTTGTTGTGAATTTTTGTCATAAAAGTTGTGTAGTAGAAGATCTGCAAGATCTCAGAAGTATCAATTCAGATAATGCTCACTGTACTTAGGGTATTTGATTACCTTCAAAAATTTATGTTTTCTGACTACTCATTAATTTAAATTTATTTATAAGATGCGACGATCCCAGCATTATTGCAGGAGCCGGAACAATGGGTCTGGAGATTATGCAACAAATAAAGGATGCTGATGCTGTCATTATTCCTGTTGGTGGTGGCGGGTTGATTGCAGGTGTTGCCGTTGCAGTGAAGGAGCTACGTCCAGAAACCCTTGTTATCGTGAGTAACTGTCATAGTGCTAAAGTAGAGAATATTTGATGGGTATTATTGAATTTTTATCGAAATTTAAAATTCAAAGAGTGTAAAAATTAACAAGGCGTTATTAATTTATAGGGTGTCAAATCGGAGCGCTGTGCAAGTTTTACTGCTGCAATGAATGGTGAACCATTAAAAATAGGTGTAAATCAGGCGATGACCTTGGCTCCTGGTAAATTATTGACCTTTTTTCAATATCATTATTTGATAGTTAATAATCAGCAAAGCAATTATATCATTGGCCGGGTAACATGTTCACTTAATTGTTCTATTATTGGCTAATGGCAAATAATTGACGTGATTGTAATATTATTTGCTGACGATGTACTGATGATATTGGCTTTCGGTAAATCATTGATTGAAAAGAAACATAATTGGGCGATCAGCATGGCCAACTGTAAGATTATTGGTTAAAGGTTTTTTATTTAAATTAAAAGAGGACGCAGTTTGTAATTTATGGGGCATTGAATCAGAGCAATGTCCAAGTTTTACTGCAGCAAAAAATAAGGGTGAACTAGTAAAGATAGATGAAAATAAGGAGATAACATTGGCTGATGGTAAATTATTGACTTTATTTTTTAATGTCATTACAATTAACAATAAAATATTGACGTAACTGTAATGTAGTTGGTGAACAATAAATCAATGACTTAGCTATAATATCATCGGGTGATAGATTTTTAATGATGTAGCTGCATTTTAATTGGCTACTGGAAAATCCTAAAATAACTATAAGAATGTATTGGCTTTTTATATCTCATTGAACAAAAAGAAACTTCGTTTGGTGGTAGGAATCGTTAAATCAAAAACTAACTGTTAGATAATTGAAGCGCCACTAAAGCATAATGGGTTAACTGCTTGTTTTTAACGTATATTTCTCGTGCCAATTAGTTAAATAATCTTTTCAAAACCCTTTTCTTTTGCAGGTTTATGCGTTTCAAAAGTTGGCATAAATGCTTTTCATACAGCAGAACCTCTTATTGATAGAATGATCACAGTACAGTAAGTATTGACAAAGAAATAAAGAATGGTTTAACACATGATATTACATTTACTTTTCATTCATGCATGCAGTATCATAAAATTTAATGAGTGCCTATCAATAAAGGGTTTCACCTGCTCCAGTTATTTAGCTCTTTTGAACATAATGTTTCTGTTTATTTTACACGCAAGGCTCGTTAGCATGACAGCAAGTTTCAAAGTTTAAGTTACTTATCATAATTTTTCAGTTCTTTAAAATATGTTTTATATAGGTTTTTCATATGTAATATTCTCATTAGAGCATACTTTAAAAAACATGTTCGTAGATGTAGGGCGTCCAGGTTAGTAGAAACCTGGCATGGAATATTGGTGTCGAAACGTCACTCAAGATCAACAACAACGGTCCTTCTCACAACTCAACTAACCTGGCCGATTTACATCTACAAGCATTTAATACTACTCCCGGCTTCAAACCATTTACTTTTTTTTCAAAAAAGATTGATTTTTATTCCAGAAAATGCTTATATTATTTGAATATTCCCTGTTTTGTAAAAGTTATAATAAAATAGAGTTTTTAAGGAAGAGTCAATATTTGAATTTTGTATTAATTAATTAATTTACTATACAGTGAAGATTACATCGCACTAGCTGTACTACGATTGCTCGAGGAAGATAAAATTACAATTGAAGGTGCTGGTGCAGTTGGTCTTGCTGTCTGCCTTACAGAACAAGTGCCCGAACTAAAAGAAAAAAAGTAGGTGTAGTTTTTTTAAGATTTAATTCATAAAAAAGTGTATTGTTGAGTATTTTCCTCTATCGATTTCCATTTCTTCAAAAGAGAAAAAGCCGTTGAATGTCAAACTAGTGTCTTTATTAGAATTGATCTAATGTTGAAACTTAAGTTCTCCTATACTCTAGTCTGGTGTCTTTATCTTAAATGATCTGATGCTGAAATTTGAGTTTTTATATATTCTGCTTTATTGTCTTAATCAGGACTGATCTGTGCATGGTAAAATATACAGAGTAAGAGTAATATGATACAGTATAGCATATACGGATTTGTGTTTATTATCTATAAATATTACAATGGAGTATTGGTTTAAAGAAATGATGAGTGTATTTAGAGACTCATTACACATGCATTATAAATAATGCTTTTACAAAGTTATGCTAAAACTTAATTCCTTATTAACTCTAATATAGTTTTTTCATTAGGAGTGATCTCATGTTGAAACTTTTATCTTTTTATAATCTAGTCTATTATTTGCTTCCAGACTAGTTTGATATTAAAATTTGAGTGCTTATTTTACTGCAATCTAGACTATTTGTTGGGAGTAATCTTATGTTGAAATTTGTGTTATTATATACTCCAGTCTAGAATGTCCAATGTTTTGATCAAGATAGATATGTGCTTTAGTTATTGTGTATTTGACTGATGCCCCTTAATTTACAAGAAAATATTTTTTTAAAAAAATGAATATAACCCTCCAATGTCGTGTTTAGGGTTGTCATTGCTCTTTGTGGTAGAAACATTGATTCAATTGTGTTGGGAAGGTGTTTGGATCGTGGCCTGGCCGCTGATGGTCGTTTGGTGCGTTTCGTGGTCACAGTAAGTGACAGACCTGGAGCTATAGCTGGTGTTACTCAACTGGTGGCCAATGTTGGAGCAGACGTTAAAGATATTTTCTACGAAAGAGCTTGGTTGTTTTCAAGTGTATTCAGCGTCCAGGTAATGCACTGCATGATCAGCATAGGGATATTTTATATATAAGATGTCTTTACCATAGTAACTATATTACATCAATTTGATCTTCGTGTATAAGTACTTATTTTATAGTGCGGATGATACATAAGAAAACGATGTACACGATGTCTTAATTTATACGAAATTGCAGCTTATAATTTTGATACCTCCTTCCTGCATCATATGTAGATTAAGATTGTTGCCAGGGTGCGAGACCGTAATCATGGAAAAAAACTCAAGGAAGCTTTGATTTTAGACTACAGCGACGAAGCAGTGATTTGGCCTTCTTTCGATAACGGTTCGCAATGATAATGTTAAATACATTTTACGTAATTTAAAAGCAGCCCATGATTGGCACCTATAAATTATATCAATAACATGATTAGTTAGCCAAGATTAGTTATCATATAACAGTAGATATTATTGTAAACATAAAAAGATTTTTTAGCATGAGATTTTCATGAAGGAGACTTCACGTTTTCCACCAATCACACCTCACATAATGTCTTAATCATGTGAGATGTTTTAATAGTTACATTATTTTTCAGCGATTTAAAACTAATTGCATCTTTGCTATATCAATCAGATAAGAATGATGATGATGTTGACATCGATGCCAAGCCTTCTAGAAAAAGGCCAAGTAAGTTATAGAATTTTATAAAAAGACACGACCTTGGAAATCTTAAAATGCTGTGTTAAACGCAAAATACGAGCAACAATCTATAGCCCAATGTGTTGTTTATAACTATTCTATGTCAAGTAAATTCTAAAATTTCAAGTTAATGAACCATTTTAATAGTCATTTGTAAACTAAAATGTTTTAATTGAATATTTTTATCTAATTGTACATTTCAGATAACTGCAATATTGTAGATTCTGAAAAAACGGAATGTTTGGTATTTGGATTAGATAAGGAAGATAATGAACTTGACAACCTTGCCAAGCTTTCTAGAAAAAGGCCAAGTAAGTAATAGTTTTTTGTAAGAAGACTCTACCTTGAAAATCTTAGAATTGTTTTAAACGCAGAATACGAACAACAATTTAAAGTCTAATATGATGTTTATAACTATATTCGCAACAAAATTCTAAAATTTCTAGTTAATGAATCATTTAACATTTCATTTGTAAGTGAAATTGTTTTAATTCTGTATTTTATCATGACACAAGACGGCGATTTTACAGTTGCTAAAATCATGCAACATACCACATTGGTATGTTGATTGTGATTGGCTAAGAGCCTGCAAATAATTCCCCATGTGTTGCCACATACAAAATATAATGAATTTTCTGTTGTAACTGTTCACATGAAAAGTGTAGACAAAAAAGCATATGGCGGATCTTGCTTGACATTTACAAGTGTTTTAAGTATAGTTGTTGCTCAATTCATTGAGAATAAGTATGTGAAAAAAACACCAAAAGAGCTACACTGTCGGTCGGGAAAGTTTTTATCAAGTATTAAAGAGAAAAAGAGGAAGTCGGACTGCTAAAAATTTTATTGTCAAAGCACGGAAACTTTATGGCTTCCTTACAAAATAGTGTGAAATCTTCTGCATTTATAATTGTATAATAAAACAATTATTAAATTCAGTTTACGCATGTCATCAAGAATTGTATCATTGACCATGATCGAACAATTCTTGGTCAATTACCTGCAATTCATTCTCGATATTTGTAGGAACGATGTCATATCTAACAATTATTTGACGAGGTTGGGTATCAGCTTTGTATCATAACGTTGACCGAGGTCTGAATAATTCTTGATATCATGCGATAGCCGAATTCAGCCATTGCTTTATTTTTTACCTCAACTAAATGAAATAGTATTAAAAGTAGGCAATGTATAATATTTTCAAACCCTCGCCAATTTGTCATAGCCAAACAATTTTTTCAAATTCTTCTCGATTAAATATGCTGTAAAATTTTTCAAAACCGCCTTCGTCGTATTTTTAATGTTTTCCGCATCCTTTTTTCTCAAAATGCATTTGATTATAAAATTTGGAAACAGTGAAAAATATCGCTATCTTTTGATTTTTCAAAACAAGCTTTTGATGACGTCAATAATTGTAGAAACTATTATTTCTAGATATGACGTAATACTTACAGATATCGAGAATTGTCTGCAGTTAATTGACTAACACAGTCGATATTGTTTACATAGTGAATGAGAGTAAAGGTTGCGTTTCAGAGAAAAAATTTGAAATAGTTTGAGCACAGAAAGAACAAAGGTAAAAAGTATCTGCAAAAAGCTAAGGGTTAATTATGGCGCATATTATTTAAGCTTACAAAGTCCCCGAAAAATTAGCCAAACCTTGATAAACGCTAGGCATCCAAATTGCGGATTACTTTATGCTATTTTAAGTATACCTTTATTGATCACATTTATGCATAAGTTATGAGAGTTATAGCAAAATAGCACTTAAAATCGAAACATTTAATATAAACTGCAATTTCAAAGCTAAGTCCTCGCGTATTAACCAGCCAAATTTCCAAAAACTTGGACCATAATTTAACCGTATGTTTTCCAATTGCATCTTAGCTGCGATATTTTTGTGCGCTAGGCTGCTAGCTATTTGAAAACTGCCTCCCGTAAAACAATTTTTACCTTAAAAATGATTATTATTTGCCAAAATTTAGTGTCAAATGAACCATTTGTAGTGCGACACCCTATTTTCATCGAAGACTAGTTTGATGGTTATTATTACAGAATAGTTTGACAAGATTGTGAAATTTTTGTTCAGTAAATTTTAAATATTGTCATTTGTGCGTTATGTTGGTAGCTGAAAAATACAGTGCAGCTAAATCTTTTCTTAGAGGACTTATATTACAATACGTTTTCAGCTGTTACTAAAACAAAAAAAAAACACACATTGTAGAAAAGCTAACAAAATCAAGAAGAACAGCATAACGTTTATTGCTTCAATTTACATGTGACTATCATCAAAAATTATTGGAAAGAAACACAGAAGCAATACATTTAACTCATTATATCACAAAAAAAGTCGTGACTAGACACACCATTAATTTTAAGGCTTAAGCTATCTTACAATATTTACAGATTTGACTTCATATCTGAGAATATTTATCATATTTAATCGTTAATGGTACGTTTTCTTGCTAAAATGTACAGTATCGAAATCCTGTGTGCCCAGTTAAGAAATTTTGAGCTAATATGTCCGTTATATAACCTTTATGTCCGTTTTAAGAATTGCAGTCGCAAGAGTGGAAATTCATAGGTGAATCAGCAAAACATAAAGAAATGTTTTCAAAAATGACCGAATTTTGGTCGAATCCCGGAGAATTCGGTAAAGTTGTGGGAGATGTACGTGTGATTTTCTTAAACGAATTTTGCCTTGGCAGAGGAAGCGATGGAAGCCGTGTTTTTCTGGGACTGAAAAAGGATGGTTACGGCAAGGCAGTGAAACGAATATTTCGAGATAACTGCATTGATTTTGCTCATAAAGAAAAAGCAATTTTAAGTAAATTCAACGCAAAGCAGTCGAAATATGTTGTCAATTATTACTCCTTGGAAGAGGATACTGAAACTGAATATGTGTATCTTATATTAGACTTATGTGAAGACTCCCTAAAGAATTTTGTCAAATCGTCTACTTTGCAAGATTTAAAAAAAGCTCTTCCAAAAATTCTTAAAAACATTTTGAAAGGATTAGCTGATCTTCACAGTGGACAAGAAGCTATTCTTCATCGAGATTTGAAGCCATCCAATGTTCTCCTAGACTCACAAGGCAACTTTCTTATAGCAGACTTTGGCATTAGTGAAATTTTGAAGAATGAAACAAACACATATGAAAGCAAGGCTAACAGGGGAACCGAGTATTGGATAGCTCCTGAATCATATTGTGAGGTTGAAGATTCAATTGATAAAGGACGGTACAAAAAAGAATCTGACGTATATGTAGGTTTAGGAATGTTAACATTTACGTATTATACATAAACTTAATTTTGTGGCATTGTATTGTAGCTATTTCAACTTTTATATTATTCTAGAATGCTGGACTGGTGGCTTATTATGTTGCAACAAAAGGGAAACATCCTTTTGGAACTAAACGACATAGATTGGATAACATGTTAATTGGAAACCCTGTTGGCTTGGACGAAATCAAGGATGAGACACTTAAAGATCTTCTTTCTTGGATGTTAAATCTAAAACCTGAAGATCGGCCATCTGCCAGAGAGGCGTTAAAACATCCATTTCTTATGTCAGATGACGAGAAATTTGACTTGTTATGTAAAGTTGGTAACCAATTGCCTACTACGACAAATCATACCCAGTCAAGTGTCGCTAAACAATTGAAGAGCCAAACTTTAAATTGGAAAAGTAAATTAGGTCGTGATGTATATGACTTTTTAAGAACGGATGAGGTGCATGGAAAAATGCATAAGTATAGATCTTCATGGACACAATGCTTAAGACTTATTCGAAATATTGGTCAACATTGGAATGAACGATCAAAGCAAAGACCTCAACCAGAACTATTTTATAAGATTGGAAATCACAAGAAATACATTCTCGAAACATTCTCCAATCTCCCTGTTCGTGTCCATGTTGCTGTCAGGTCAAACGACGAATTGAAAAATTGTCCAGAAATAAAAAAGATTTTACGTTACAGCTCTTAAACTGCAAAAACATTTTTTTGAAAAGGCAAATGGCCAGTACAAAATCATAGTTTTTAAAATCTTCTTTTGCATGAATGCAAAATAATTGTTTTCTGATAATGCATAAAAACGTTCTTGGTGAATTTAATGTATGTTACGTAATTATTAATACTTTATTCGTAAATATTATTTAGCGTAAATATTATTGATACTTAATCTTTAATTCGTAAATATTCTTTAGGGTAAGACTAAAGATATTTACTTTTGAATTTTGCATGTTTAAGATATAAAGATGTAATATACCTTCACCCAATATAAAAACTGTCATAGCAACGAAGATAATAATCACAACTTATTACATCATTTTGTAGCACATTAATTACGGTTTTGTAACAACTAAACTCATTCAATTAAATAAAACTGATACGTTGCCTTTTGCTGTAATTTTGAAGCTGCTCTCTCGGATGGAAACTAATCTACGATAAGCTCGTTTCAACTTATTAACATATGTACATCTTTTTTATTTAGACTGTTTTTAATTGCGCTTGTCACTTTCTTAATAGAAATAATTCTGTGCTAAATCATTTGATTGAGAAAATATCGACTGGGCTGCAACCTGAAATAGCTTATGTGAAAATTGAATGCTGTAATTTTTAAAAATAAAAATTTAATTAGCCAATTGCAGTTGAGTGTCTTTTTGAAAATAATGGCGTATGCAACAATTCAAGGCATCCAGCATAGAGACAGAAAAATTTTTCAAACAACATAAAAAGCTCACGCATATTTTTCGGGATTTTCGTCGTCTTTTTTAAAAGACAAGTATGGATTCATTTTAAAAATTATCCTATTCTTTAGTGATATAATTATAATTTTGAATTCAGGTTTGTTTTTACGTATTATTACTTTATGTAAAGGTATGTGCTCGTAACTGCGATGATAGTTGCCTACCTTTGGTAAATATATAAAATATACAAAATCAAATAATTCAAAATTTTCGGCGCGCGGTCTGTTACGACGGAATGGGCCGAGTTATCGTTTGTTTATATAATTTTGTGATTTTTGGGCCCCTTTTGTTGTATCGACAATGGCTGAAACAAACTCAACTTTTGGACAGAAACAAGATTATATCACTCGAAAGGTCTGCTAAATCACAAATATTTTACGACGTGGTGGCATCCTAGACTCAGATCTGTCGCGAAAATTTGACGACGTCTTGGAAAAAACGTCGTGTTTGCTAAATAACTCTATTAAGCTTTCTTTTAAATGTGGAAGTCTTTGTTTATGGAGGAGAAAACGGGACTGATCGCGTTCAGTTCCGTGGAGTCGTTTAACTTTCGTAGGAATTGTTGGGAACCTGAAGAACCAAAGCTTAAATATCGCAAAGTTGTAGATGCATTTGCTCTTTGTGGTAAGATATTTGTTGGTGGGGATTGGTGGGAGGTGATTTTCTTAATAGTGTTGAGCAGCTAGACGTTGAAAGTGAACAGTGGAAGCAATCGTGTCTTGGTTCCGCATATAGTAACATGTTTGTAGTAAAGACGAGGTAATTATGATCGAGGGGGCTAGTCAGGTATCCTTTGAGAGCTGAGACAGTCATCAAATCGTAAAAGGATCTTTAGTATTTAAATTCATCACCTCTATTTAACTTTAATGTTGGAATTCTTACCATTAAGGTCTTTCTGGCCTCTGGTCACTAATCAAGTTGGGGGCCTCCCACATAATTGCATAATGCTAGCGGATTTGATTCATGTCAGGTGTCATTCAACAATTGAATGATAACTCATCAAATTGGAAAAGTCAAATACATAGTATGATTTTTTTATAACAGATGAAGTGAATGGAAAAATGCGTAAGTATGCATCTTCTTGTACTGATTGCTTAAGACTAATTCGAAACATTGTTCAGCATTGGTACGATCGTCCACGACCTCAACCAGAATCATTTTATAAGATTGGTGATCACAAGGCATTTCTTTTCAAACTTTTCCCAAGTCTCTCTGTTCGGGTGCACTCTGCTGTCAGGTCAAACGATAAATTAAAAACCAATACAGAACTTAAGAACTTTTTTAATTTCAACGAGAGCGAACCTTATTAATGAATAATTTGAACCAAGCAGAATCTGGCCTGTTTGAAAGGAAGAATCTTCGTATATGAATGTAAAGTAGAAACATATTTTATGACCATATTTTCATTGTAACAGTTGCGCTGCTTAAGCTTTGATAATAGGGTGAGTAATATTTTTATAAATACTTGTTATAATTTGCAAGGAACCATTCATTTCAGAGGAACTTAATTATATAGGTAGTTACATTAATTTATGAAGAATATAGTGCATGCTACGTAACTACATTTCTGGTGAGTTTAAATTAACTTTATAAAATGTATGATAATATATATTTATTTTTTGTTCTTTGTTGATTTTCAGGACAGATATTAATTCCACAAACTTATTTTGAAGAGGTTTCAACACGAGTTCTCTCAATAATAAAGAACTTGCGTCTTTAGAAATTTCAACGCCCAGCTGCCAGCTTTGCGTACAACTTACAAGTACTTAGAATCACTAAATGTTTTTGCTTATTACCCTCTTACATCTTGTTCAAAGAACTTCTAAAAGTCAATTTTTTTATACACCCTGTATATTGCCTGTCTACAATCATACAGTGTTAAGTAAATGCTATGAAATTACTTGATTTTACTTTGCCTTTTTTAACATATAATGTATTATTTAGGTTTATATATAACACATATAATGTATTAATGGGGTAAATAAAAATTGGTTCACAAATAATACATTTTTGTAAAATAAGGAAACATTATTGAAGAAATAAATTAATACGCACGCCAAACGCCTAATATGAAAAATATAAAGACCATCCAAAACTATTCCACTTTGGTTTTTCATTGCAATTGCTAAAGTGACTGATGAAGTGTAAGCCAAGCAGATGCATAATGCTTTTTTTGAAGCTTAGTGTTGTATCCAATGTCGTAGCAATTTCGATAACTGGGGGAGGGGGTCATATTCATATTTGAATTTCATAATCAGCAAAACATAATGAATTTCAGAAAAACTTGATACGGTAAAACATGAATATATGAATATACCTCCCTCCAAATTAATGAGTTTAATATTCTATGTTGTTAGTATCAGCAACAGGCAAACATTCCATTTTTCCTAGTGAATTCCCATTACATTTATACAGTGACCATTTAATTTATCAGTCTTGACTTTACTTTGGGGTAAAGACTGACGACGTTGGACATTTAAATATAAGTTTCATATATGTAGAAATTCATGTATAGAAATTTACTGCATTCATTAAGTATATAATTAACTGTTTTACTAAATAACGTAAATGGAAGTCTTAGACGATGGATTCGTCATTAACACAGATAGATCAGTATAGTCAACAATTATTGTTAGTTGAAATCAGGTTTAGCAAAAATCACTTAATATGCAGTTTTTGAAAGGTAGATTGAGTTGAAAACGTCACTTCTTTGGTGCAATAAGGTCTAGCCTGCAAACTTTGTAAAATCGTGTAAAAGGGCAAAGTATTAAGAAACTGCAAACTGTAAGACTTTGTGTGCTTAGTCAAGTCACAAAAACGCTAAGCTCGTTGTTAAGGTTGGCTTAGTTCGTGGTGCCCCAAAAATGTACACCCTCTCGTTCCATGCACATCAAATCTTTTACAGTTACATTGCAGGAAAATCTTTGGACAAGCATCGTATCCTCAGTGATTTACATTATTCTTTCAAGTGCTGTGTACTTGTGTTTTATCGAAGGTTGGCGCAGTTAAAAAAGGAAATATTTGATATATCGGTCGTATTAATCAGTGATTACACAGCAAACAATAGACACTAAAACGACCATTTGTCAGAATACTACACAAAAGGAGTGAATGATTCATATATAACTCATTCTTGGACAGTCACGGACAAGAAACCACGATCTTTCACAATCATAAGAATGGAGTAACGTATTATACATATATTATGATACGTTATTATATATGTGTATTTTTGCTGCCTCACTGACGCTCGGAAGCACACTAATCGTGAGATGACTCAGCCTAATCTTTCACCTGACTGAGATGCTGGCGAAATCTCGATTTGTTTCTGTGTGTCTGTGGATTTTTTCAGACGGTGGATAAAAGTACATTTAATGTGTTATTACAAGTAGACAATATATATGTATAAGCTCTCAGAAGTGATCTTGTAGTCCTAGAAACAACTATTTATAATCTAGTATAACTGTTTGAGAATATCAAATGATTTTTGGTTTATATTATGTACGTACGTGTAGTGCGATGGCAAGAAATACTTGCCACGTGCGAGGCCTCTGCGCTCACAAATTTAGGCATACATTGGTGAGTCTTAATCTGAATAGAATCGTCAACAATAAGCAATATAATCCTACCAAAGTAAGAAAATATTAAATTTGCGCGGCCTGTGTGCCTAAAATTAGCTATCACCACAGTGCAATGGTGACTCCTGCACTTGGGACACAGGACGTACGGTTACACATTTTATGGATTGTATTAGAACCTTTAAAGGTTCTCTAATTACGTAACTGTCACTTCCACTTGTAAAAATTATATAAAAGTTTCGCAGCCTGCATTGTAAACTATTAGTCTGTTGATGTCTTTGGAATAAAGACGAAATATTACACCATCTTTTGTTTTTAAACTCTTGTATTATCTTAAATATCGAGAAAACGAGATGTCCGTTTTCGGAATTTGTTTTATTTTGTTTTATATAATGTAAGGAAGAAGAAAATTCACGAAAATTATAATTTCATCACGAAAAACCTGTTTCGTAATTTCTCACTCTTCCGAGGCACCTTAGCTATTTTAAGTTGTTTTAAATACCTCGTTTAGATAGTAAAATGAGTTTTTTGGCTTATTTGGACAAAGCCAAAAAACAATTTCATTGAATCCTATTTGTGAAAAAGCTCGGGAATATTATAGGAATTGTAAAGGATTTCGCAGGAAAATTCAGGAATTTTATCTTTAGTTCAAAAAAACATTAAAATTCATTTCTGGAAACCCCCTGCTCATTTTTGCATACATTTCTAATGGCAGCATGTAAGACAAAGTTGTAAAAGTCCGTGTGCGCTATCTAGCTCTGAAAATATTGGGAATTTGTGGACAAATTATGTCATTCGAAAGACCAGTGGATAGACGTGGGAAAGTTTGTTTAGCAAATGGTGAATTCTTTACCCCACAACAGACGCCTGAGTTGCGTGTCAAAGTATGTAAAGCATTGAGACATCGTAGCTACATAATTGCGCGTGTTTTCAATGAGAAAAATATGGTTTGTACAGAGTATTCCAAAAAATATCTCCCCTATACAAATCACTCGACTTTTGTTGGACGTGTGTCGTTATACCTGGGACAAATTCATTGTAAAATTGATTTGGTTGCTTCCATCATCGCGATAAATTTGATACTTAAACGAATTATTTCCTGTTAATTTACTACTTACACCATTCATGTGCAAATTAATTCAACTCCCAGAGGTACAATAACGGTCAAGAATAATTTGTATAGAATATGTTAGTTCACCTATTTGAATTTTCTTGCTTAATAGTTTATATTTTACTTTCTAAAATGAAGGATTATTGGCTAAGTAATACATTGTGGTCATTTCAAGAATTTTAAATAAAAATAAACAAGACAAGACACTGCAGTATGTACATAAGAGATCAAGGTTTTTCATCAGATTACTCTTGATCAAGACACTAGACTGCAGTACCTATATAAGGAATAAAGTTTTAACATTATATCAATTCTGATGATGAAGAGAATAGACTGGAGTAAATAAGAACTCAAGTTTCAACCTCAGATCTTTCCTGATGAAGACATTTGAATGAAGTATATAAAGACTTAAGACTCAACGACAGATCACCTCTGAAGAAGACATTAGACTGGAGGGTGTAACAGTTATCAAAAAATTCAACATCTGATTGCAATCAAGACTAGGTTTCTTTCCAATTAAGAAATTTTTTAACAAATGCCCCAATTTTTTGTTTTATTGCATGAATAACTTGCATATTTTTTGAAAACAGGATGTATGCATTGAAATTTGCAAGAAATTGGACATTGCTCCTATGGCTTTTCATTTCTTCACACTTATGACAACAGACTGTGAACACTGCCTTGACATCGAATGCCAGATAACAGAAAAATGTGACAGACAAAAAGATCATTATTATAATCCCAAACATATAATATCGGAAGACATTTCCAATCAGGTCTTTTTCTTTCGGCTTGCATTTAGAGCTGTTGCTGGTTCCTATTTAAAAGCTGTGAATGTTGCTACATTTGAATACTTTGTCATGCAGGTAACAACTGTAATTTTGTGTATTTATTTTCAAAAATAACACTTTTTGCTTGCCTTTGTGCTGGTTTGGGGTCATTTGCTGGCTTATCTCAATTTGTAGGTGTTATTGATTTTGGTCACCTTTCTTATTAGCATATATCATCAAATTGTAAGTGACTTTATGTTCTTTGTTAAGTTATTTAATGACAAATGCATAATGATTATCACTAACCTACAGTGTCGATGGGATTACATCAAGCAAAGAGTGGACAACTTGTCCTGGAAAGATCATCTCACTTTGCTAGTTCTTGAGTCAATAATCCAAGCTCACGAAAAAAACATAACTGCCAAAGAAGTTCTTGACAAACCACAAGTGGTACATGGTTATTTTAATTTCAAGTAACTAGTTGAGGTTGTTGAGAGCTTTCTTTAGATATTGGATCCACTTTTGAAATGTACTCATACATTATGAACTGTTTGTTTTGTTGTTTTTTGAATGGCCATAAGGGCTTGCAATGCTGGTGTATAAACTCATTCAGACATGAATGGGGTTGAGCTGTAAAGAACTACTTTTATCTATAAAGTATATATTTGTAGGAAATGCCATGGTATTGCTCATTTGTTTGTGAGTAAAGACTACAAACCAAAAAAAATACGATCTCATTTGAAGACACAACTCCCACAGTTCAAAACTGAGCAAGCAAATGTAGACAACGCGAAAATCTCGTTTTCAAAAGTCCTTGAGCGTGTTCCTGATTTTGGTGTTATGAATATTCTTGTGAAAATGGTATCATCTTACTAATACTATTTCCTGCTCTTAAAACTATTTTGAATATGACTATAATTATTGTTTGTTTCAGTTTTATTACCAAGCTCCTTCGGAAGATAAAGTCTTGCCTGTAGAATGTGAGATTCTGATATCACCAAATGGCGTTAAAAAAAGGCGTACTTACCAGAAAGATGAGGTACGTGCCAATACACTGAATGTAGGATATTCTGTAATGTGTATATTTACCATTTTTTCACCAAAGGTGGTCTGTCAAAAAACATTTCAAATAATATAGTTGATCGATAGATAACTTTTTGTACTGTTTGGTTCAAAACATGCAAAATGTTGGGATTTTTTAATCATGGCCGGGAGAAAAGAGCCTGAGTACGAAAGCGCATTTTTACGTCATACAAGGCACGGAAGTTAATTGATCACCATTACTATAGATTTGTATTATATGCAGTTTTGATTTTTTTCAGCGTGACAAAAACGAAAAATGCCCGTCACATATTAGGTGAATTGGTGCAGCCACAAACACTTTTTGCAATCATTAATTTTTAGCTTTAAAAAACATTAAAACATACGTAAAACATTATTACGAATATCATTGTTTATTGGCAAAAACTAATAAGCTCTGTTTATAATTTTACGTAAAATCCCTTAGTAGCTATTCCAAGGAGAAACATATAAAGTAGCTATAGTATTTATCCAGTTGAATTCTTTCGCCGTAGCTATAAGTCCTGTTTAAATAAGCTCTTGCTATTTTGTTTCAGATGAGTATAAAATGAAAAATATCATCATTTTTTTCACTGTTTCTACACTTGGTATTTTTATTTCCATTTCAAACTATCTAGCCCTATTCAATAGAAAGCGTCATAATCAACTTGGCGTAAAAAGATCAAGCACCATCACATTTGACGCCACAATACTTTGCGACTATACTCTCTTTGAGCAGAATTAAAAGAAAGGCTATCTGTAGTTACAAATTAAGTTAATTAGTTAGCAGTTCTGTCTCCAGAGTCAGGCCACTATCGCAGGAATCCACCATGAAACAGTGTAAGCAATGAATTACCGCAATTGTATTTTTGAAAACATACTGCACAATTGTGACCGAAATATACCGGGCGGAAAGCGAACTTTAAATATAAATATCAAAGCCCAGCAAAGTGCTTTTAAAAGAGCCATTTAATGCATAAAAAGAAATATTTATTTAAAAGTGTAACGTTTCGTCTTGACTCTCAAGACATCATCAGACAATATTGAAATACAAGTATAGAGGGATATATACATAATGCTATTTTCATAATATTAAATTACATGGTGGGATAAAACGTGTTAGTAAATATTGGATAAGATGGTATGACGTGGGATAAGTAGAAACACGAAAGAAACAAAAAAACCCCACAAACAATCATAAAGTATACAGACATGAGGACGGACGAAATTAGATTAAAGCAACTGAAGGACAATGGGGTTTCCTTGGACATTAGGAGATGGTTTCATTTTGTTGATTAAGAGGCTTTCGTGAATAAGAAGTTCTTGTGAGTCTGAGCATGAATAAAGTATTTTAAAATCCTCAAAGGTAGCGGTGTGTGGATTTAAGGTGTAATAGTATGGAGGAATGACAGGGATGTTTAGAAGGTTTACCAGTCAAAGGGGTAATGCACAAATGCTCTGAAATTTGAGCGTGTATTTGATTTTTGTCATTGTTTAGTACGGCAGTAATTATGAATCCAGTAAAGTTGAAGAGATCATCTGCGATCATAAAGATATTGTAAGCCTCGACATAAATCAATCCCAGTCTGGAGAAGTCAGCATCCGCATAATTAGAAAGAACTTGTCTCCCGAGGTAAAGCTATTACTGTTGCTTCAATAATAATGTATTACCCTTACTCTTTTCGTGCTTTATGGTGTAGCAACTACTCATAGCGATGTTTGATCTTGAATGTGACATAACTCTTGTGAGTTTTTATTTGATTGTAGGTCGTTTTCGTCGAGGATTCTATGATAAAAGCGAAAAGTCTTATGACATTGATTGATGGCTTTTATCGTTTGCTTGTGAACCCATACAAAACCTTAATGAAATGTACGTAATTACATTGTTTAGAGCCCGTGACAATCAATAACGTACATTTGCATCAATGAGCAGTGGTCCTTGGACAATAATCAGTTTTGTAAATTTTCTTTAAAATATGGCGAGCGATTTTGTTTGGTTCAAGTTTAATCGATTGGATTTTTGTCTTAGGTGGATCTGGTCATAATAAATCATCTGGAGAACTCCATCAGCAATTTGGGATCAGTGGACCGATTGAGTAAGTGCTAGTTTACAAAAAACTGCTTTGTTAAAATCTGCGTGAATACATTCCTATTTTCGAAATAATATACGTGAAATAGATTTCCATTTCTATTATAAGTACGTTATCTATGATTGATTTGTGGCGATGAAAAATCGTGAAATTGAAGTGCGGTACAGAGGCGTAGAAAGCTCGATAATTGGGGGCAATATTCATATATTCATGTTTGACCGTATTAAGTTACTTTGAAATCAATTGTTTTCTGTGTGGATTGTAACATATATATGTATATACCCCCCCCCATTATCTATGCTGGTTTAGGTAATGCCTGGTATGGTAGACGTTTTTCATGAACATTGTTTTCGTATAGTAAGTCCGTGTTATGTTCTCCACCTCAGTATAACTCGTCAACATTCCTTGTCATCTCAGTTTTTTCTGAATTGTGCTAATATCCAGCATTTGCATCACTTATCATCATTATTTTTTGCATTGCTCTACCATTTACGAAACTATTTTTACAGGCAAGAGAAGGTTGATAATCTCTTAAAGGCGGTAAAAACAGAAAACAGCAATCCATCTGGCGTTTATATGATATGCCAAAGTCCCAAACATTTTGACAGTTATATCCTATCACTCATTCACGGCAATGAAATAAAGAATTACGAAATATTAGTCGACCATGGCAAGTACTGCCTAAAGGATGGGCCCATGTTTGACAGTATGGTAAAACTTGTGGAGTTTTATAAGACTGAACAGGTTTGTTTTGTTTGCATGGAAAAACGGTGTATTTCATTGATATGGCGTGACACGTTTGTGTTCGTGGCAAGACATGTTTTTGTACAGACAAACACGTTTTTGTGCATGCACTTAGCCTATTTGTCGCTGGACAAAGTTGATTAATTCAGATTAATGACATGGATAAGGTTAACTTGAGATAGTGCAAATTGAAGAGTTGTAACATTTGACTGGAAATGAGAGATACTTGTTATGTTGCATTTAAGTTTACATTTTGTTTACGTTTCAAATTGTCATTTGAAAATAATCAAAAAGGCAAAATGAATTTTTTTTCATTTCTCGTCGTGTGTTCCTTTTTTAGCACATTGTAAGCCTGAGCTTTCTACTCCACTTTAAATTGGCTCTATGCCTTTAAACTGTCGGATTACAAGTCAACTTATATTCACTATAGAAGTATATCAAATTTTGTTTTCTCTAGATCGGTTTTCCGACGGTACTAACGAAATATTGTCCAGTCCCAACGGAAGGTAAAGTTTATGTTTGAATAATAGTGTCCATATTTTGTTGTGAAATAAGAAACTTTTCTAAGTGCATGGCTTGTGAAAAGATGGAAAATTGTGGTGATTTTAGTTTAAAAATGTTGTTCTGCGATTGTCTTACGCACTAGTTACAATCTTTATTATTAGCTAACAGTCAAAGTTTTGTAGTAAAAATTACAGAAAAAAATTTATTTTTAAAAGATAGGCATTTTGTTATATCTTCTCCCACAAAATAAATAACCTTAGACACAAGAAAAATGCTCTCAAATTTTTATTTTAAAGCTCTCAAAATATATTGAAAAACAATACGTTATGCACAACAGAAAAGTTACAACGAAAAGGTCTTTTTGTGCTTTACTTTTTTATCTCACCCAATGTCATTATATTTGAATCATTTGATTGCATGACTGTGTAATTAATGTTATGTTTAATTGTTGTTATGTTGCCCATTGTTTGCCCAAAAAGTGCACTGCATGTATGTATTGCATTGGTTAAAGTGGGCAACACTTATGCTTCAGATTATTTTCGTTTCACTCACCTCTAAAAGTAATACTTTTATGTCATTGTAAGAATTGCAGTTTCCTGAGTGGAAATGCATCGATAAATCTACAAAACATAGAAATTTGTTATTAAAGTTGATTCAATATGGACGCAATCGGAATACCGAGGTTAAACTGGTTGGCGATGTACGTGTCATTTTTTCCGACGAGTTTTGCATTGGCAAAGGAAGCAACGAAACCCGTGTTTTTCTGGGACTGAGAAAGGATGGTTACTGCAAAGCAGTAAAACGAATACTTTGAGATAACTGTATCAAGAGTGCGCAGCAAGAAAAGAAAATTTTGAATGGATTCAATGCAAAGAAGTCGAGATACGTTGTGAATTATTCCTACTTAGAAGAGGATACCGGAACGGAATATGTCTATTTAATATTAGACTTATGCGAAGAATCATTGGAGAGTTTTGTGAAATTTTCTACTTTGCCTGATCTTGAAAAAGCTCTTCCAGAAATTCTTACACAAATTTTAAAAGGATTAGCTGATCTTCACAGCGGCCCAAATCCTATTCTTCATCGGGATTTGAAGCCTTCCAATGTTCTCCGAGATTCACAAGGTAAGTTTCTGATAGCTGATTTTGGGATTAGTCGACTATTAAAGAATGGTTTGAGGACATATGAAAGCAGGGCTAACAGGGGAACTGAGTATTGGATTGCACCTGAATCATATTGTGAAGATGAAGATACAGTTGATAAAGGACGTTACAAGAAAGAGTCTGATGTAATGGTTGGTATAGGAATATGACTGTTTACAAATAAATTTACTTTTTTGCATTTTTACATTGTTTATCCTTTTAGAATGCTGGCTTATTATGTTGCCACGAAAGGTAAACATCGTTTTGGAACTAAACGGCATATACTGGACAATATGTTGAATGGAAACCCTGTTGGCTTAGATCAAATCAAGGATGAAGCATTGAAAGACCTTTTGTTCTGGATGTTAAATCTACGACCTGAAGACAGACCATCTGCTAACGAATCTTTGAAACACCCATTTCTTATGTCGGATGACGAGAAGTTTGACTTTTTATGTAAAGTTGGAACTTGGAAACCAACAGCCAATAAAGACGAGCGAGACCGAGTCAAGTGTAGTCAAACAATTAAATAGCAAGTATTCAAATTGGAAAAGTTTTATGGACACTGATGTATATGATTATTTAAGAACAGACGAGGTAAATGGAAAAATATATAATTATGGTCCTTCATTGACAGAATGCTTGAGACTTATTCGAAATATAGGCCAACATTGGTACGATCGACCACGGCCAAGACCACAAACATTTTATAAGATTGGCGATCACAAGGCATTTTTTATCAAGAAATTCCCCAATCTCCCTGTTTGGGTGCATGCTGCTGTGAGGTCAAATGAAGAATTTAAAAACAATACAGAACTCAAGTACTTCTTTAATGAAAGCGAACCACGTGAATGAACAGTTTAAAGAGAAAAGAACCTGTCTGAAGGAAAGGCAATGATAAGTAATTGTATGAATGTACATTAAAAACATTTTTACTTCCCAGTTCCATACGTTTTATATAGTTGTTCGGTATTTGTATAGTGCTCAGTTTTTTAATGAAAGTTTCAGTGGATTGTAGCTTGTGTTTTGATTTGTTTGTAAGTGGTTGCAGTATGTCAGTCAAGTACTTTGAAAGTTTGAAAGTAGGCGAACCACAGAATGATACAATTGTTCGCATGGGTATTTGTGCCGTGTAGTCTGGGTGGTCGTGGTACCGAACATCTAAGTCAATAGTAAATGCGTTCAGATATATGTTAAATTTTATCATAGAGAAGATCTTGCTGTCAAGTTTGCGTACTAGTGATGGTGTTGGGTCTCGTTTGAGTTGTTCGTACGTTTGTCTGTCGTTAACAAGGGTGTCCATTTTGTCGAAGTAATCATTCCTGTCCATGACCACAGTCACGCGTGCTTTGTCTGCTGGTAAAATGACGATGTTGTTGTTGTGTTTTGTCGTTTGAGTGCTTGTTGCTCGTCCTTTGTCAAGTTGTTGTCACGTATAGAGGACGATTGTAAAGCGGAGGCTACCCTGCTTCTGATATCGTCTTTGGTTGTCTCTGACTAGTCTCTTTGATACGCTAGGACAGCATCGACATCAATGTTTTAGTCCGTAATATAGTAGTCGTGTTTTAGTTTCGTCTAATGAGCGGGAAGAAATATTCCTCACCCAGTTATCGTCATGTTTATGTCTTGTCCGTGTTTTAAAACGCACTACAACACGTACAAGACATAAACATGTACGTGTACCATTTACTCAACTTATGTCTTATGACAACTTATAGGGAACCCGGACCCCTATGTGCACTTGGCCAATTTTGGTTCACTTGGCAGCATTATTTTTATTTTGTGAACGCAATGACTCACCTGTTGAATGAAACCAGTAAATGTAGATCTCAAGTTATACCAAAAACTAGTTTAGTTAAAAAACCAAGCTGTTGGTGATGTTTCTTCACTGGTGATTTTCTCTTCACTCACACCTTGGATTGTTGCTCATTTTTTTTCATGAAAATAGATTCTTGGCTAAACTAAACTTTCTTATGATTTGTTAAATCCACTCTGGATTTCTATTACTTTACAGTCCAAGTGTTGTTTTACTTTCAGATCATGAATTGCATCATTATCTACCAGCTCTTTGTACATTGCACGTTGTTACAAAAATACCTGGGTAGGTTGTAATCACAAACTACATAATCTGTGGGGTAACAAACTTATTCTCGAGTTAACAATTCTTTAACAAGAGTGGAACATCTGGCATGAATTAGACTTTAACAACAAGATTGGGCATGAATTGGATAACAACATCTGTTCACATTTTTTTAAAAGTTTGCAAGATAAGTATTCGAGCCCAACAAATAATTTTAAACATAGTCATAAACAATTTGGTTTTATGAAATTTATTAGGAATGACGACGTTTCCTCTTTACTCAAGACATCTTCAGACAAATTAGGAAGTTAACAAGAATATAGATATATATAGAGCTATTTACATAGTTTGAGGTATCAGATTACTGTGAATGTGTAGGTGTGATGTGATGTAAGTGTGATGTAAGTGTGATGTACGTGTGATGTATTGTTAGGGTGAGGTGTTGAGACTAGAAAAGCTTAAGAGGGATGAGGCTGCCTAGAGTGTTAAGTGAAGGTTTTAGTTTGGAGATGAGGAGGCTTTGTGGATCATGAGGTTGAACAAAGAGCAGGATGAGATGATTTTAAAATCGTCTGGCAAAGCAGGGTGGTTGGTGGAGTTACTATGAGAAAGAATACTTGATAATGGGTTAGTATAGTGTTCTCCTTTGACTGAAAAGCAATACTAATCCATAATGGTATTTCTCAGTAACTCCACCAACTGCTTTGTGAGATTTCAAAATCATCTCATCCTGCTCCAACATATGACCTCATACCACACAAAGCCTCTTCATCTCCAAACTAAAAACCTTCACTTAACACCCAAGGCAGCTCCATAACTGTTAAGCTTTTCTAATCTCAACACCTCACCCTAACAATACATCACACTTACAACACACTTACATCACATCACTCCTACACATTCACAGTAATCTGATACCTCAAACTATGTAAACAGCTATATATTTATATCTATATTCTTGTTAACTTCTTAATTAGTCTGAAAATGTCTTGAGTAAGGACAAAACGTCACTCTTTTAATACATTTCATAAAACCAAATTGTTTATGACTTTGTTTAAAATTATTTGTTGGGCTCTAATATTTATATTGAGAATCAGCTTCCCGCCTGGCACTTCATTGGAAACAAATTTGGAAGATACACCATACTCCCATAAAACTGCCTGTGTACCACCTAACACATACCTTGTGACATTATCTTTCAGATTGTTCATATGCCTGTTTTATGATATTGATATGCTTGATCTTAATGTCACCAAAAAAGTTTTTAATGAAGAAGTAAGCTAACATTTGCTTTCATCTGACACAATAGAAATTATCTCACTGTACTTCAATATGAAATTCTATGTGTGCAAACTGCAGTAAAGAGTTACCATAGAGAATGTATATAGTGTCCCTTTAGGATCACCTTGTATTCTTTACATGCATGTAATAACTTATTTTGTACAAATAAAATTGAAAAAAGTAATCAATCATTGCATTAAACAAAATTCAATTTATTTTCAAAATGTAGCAACAGAACAAAATACATAAGGCATTCCTGAAAAGCTGAGTGGTCTGTATGCATTCTGCGTATATTGTTCGCATAGATACACCAATATTTAACATAAATTTATAAAAAAAATCAAAATTCCATGAAAAATACTTTGACATACGCGACTGGAATGCAATCTGATAGAGCAAGTGGGATTGAAATCTTTCCTTATAATTGCACAGAGCCACTTCGCTACTGTGCTTGCCACCAGGGCGTACGTTTCATATCCTTCGTTGCTTCGATTGGCAAAATAAACGCACAACATAAAACCGAACTTTTTGTAATTTAACTCTTTGTAAACTATAGTTTTCTATTGCGCTCTCGGAACAAAAATGGCGGCGAGAGACCCACGTGACCGTATTTACCCATTCATCATGCAGAATGCAGAGAACAATACGTGTACCACCACAGAACTCATAATACACCAACTTTGCGGTCCCAACTCTTACATATAGATGGCTCTGGTAGAATAAGCGTTATGTTGATCTTCTCGTCGTCAATTTGAATGTGCAAGCTCTGTGATTTAGTCATAAAACATAAATTTTGACAACATTTACTAGGGTAAGTTTACTTAAATGGTTTTTATCATGAATAGAGCAAGGGAAAAGGTCAGAACTATTTTTGAAACATTTATAGCAACAGCGCAGTGTAGTGTTTATACAAATTGTTTGCAATGTAAATCGCATTTTAACTATATTTATTTGATCGTATTATAATTTATCTGGATGTATTATTATGGACTAGAAAGTATAAATATAATAAATGTTTGGCGTCTGGCGACTCTGCCTAAAATTCAAAGAATTCCCGAAGTGTTAGCTTATTCCCAAATATTAAATATATTACCACGTACTTTGGTTATACCCAGTAATTGTACTACAAAATGGACGACTAGATAGCTTAAAGCCTTAATATTCTCCAACATAATTTTAATTGCTTGCTGTGGACGCTTATGTAAACAAATAGAGTCGCAATTTGCGCGACCATATCAATGTAGGTCTGTGATGATTCATTGATCGAAATTTTACATGTTAAGTACTTTGAGTTGTTTGACAAAACATAGTGAATCATGATAAACTACTTGCGGGTCCCATTTAATCTGTTTACAAGCCAAATTGGGACATTTCTCTTATTTAAATGACCTCAATGCGAGCATACTGTTATAGTTACAGTACCGACCTCGAGTAACATGACATGACTCGCGAATTTCGAGAGGCGTGTGGGCGAGTGACGCATTGCGAATGAGCGAGTGACTCGCGATGCAGTTGCGAGTCACTCTCGATTGTGAGAAGTTTGCGAGTGAATGAGTGACTCGCTGTTTGCGAGTGAATTGAAATAACTCGCAAAAAATGCTTTCTCCAGTATTTGAAATTGACAAACATAGTCTTAAGTGTAGTGACAAATAAAATTCGTTCAACATTTTGAAGGCAATGGTTTTATATCTTTTTATGAAACACGGGAGCAAAACGAATATTCATTTGAAGCAATATCTCGGGACCTAATGACGTTAAAATCTTTTGAATTTTTTTTACAAAAGCATTTTAATAACTCACATTTTCATGGCACAAACGTTATTCGTAAAGCGGTAGAGATCATAGAGAAATTAGTGAGAAAATCAAAGTAACTCTCAAAGATTTTCTTCTAACAGTCTTAGATTGTTGACATATATTATCTTAGGATAGAATACATTCAATCATTTTGTCTTATAAATATTCGTCTTTTCTTGCTTGTTTTAAAGTACAATATAAAGTCATTGCCCTTAAATTAACTGCAAAACATGCACGCAAAGAGGAATGTTTATATGAAAAAATAATTGATACACTAAAAGTTTAGAAAAGTCACATCGTGGTAAAAGGATTATCGTTCGAGTAATGACTTCCGTTTTCCATATTTCATACAAACTCTATTCATAAAAACTATAGACACTTAAAGTCAGCAATTAATGAAATCATGTCTTATAAATAGTTACATATACGCAGAATAACTCATACGTATAACGCAAGCCAACTAAAGTGAGTGGAAATATTATCGATAGGTGTATGTCACTAGAGTCACCCGACAGTGACGAGTTGCGATTGAGCGAGTGACTCGCGATGCAGTTGCGAGTAATCTCTATTGTGAGAAGTTTGCGAGTGAATGAGTGACTCGCTGTTTGCGAGTGAATAAAATAACTCGCTGTTTGCGAGTGAATTGAAATAACTCTCAAAAATTTCTTCCTCCAGTATTTGAAATTGAAAAACATAATCATAAGTGTTGTGAATAGTAAACTTCGTCCACCATTTTGAACTCGAGACCTAAGGACTCTAAAATCTTTTGATATTTTTTCCAAAAGCATTTTAATAACTTCACATTTTTTATTTTCTACACGCACAAACGTTATTCATAAAGCAACAGTCGCCATAGAGAAATGTAAAGTAAGCGGCTCGAAAAGTTGCCAGTCACTTGCGAGTAAAAACATTTTGCGGGTGAGCAGAGTACAAATGACATTCCGACAAAAATGAATGAGATGGTGTGATTAACAATTATCAATTGGTCCATGAAATGAAATCATGTCCTATAAATAGTTAAATACGTAGACAGATTGTTTCAGAAACTAACCTCATTTTTAAACATTTCTACTGGTAAGTGAATCGCAAGGCCATAGACATTGATTGCTATTAAATGTCTATGGCCTTTATCAATATCGTCTGTGTAACACATCGAAAATGTGAAGTCAATGAAGTTCTTTCAGAACCAAATTTAAAAGATTATACGCACACTCATCGCATAGCTACATTCCTTAAATGTTTGACCTCAAACAATATTGGTTTTTGTATGTATTCTATCTTAAGATAATATATGTCAACAATCTAAGACTGTTAGAAGAAAGTCTTTGAGAGTTACTTTGATTTTTTCACTAATTCCTCTATGGTCTCTACCGCTTTACGAATAACGCTTGTGCCATGAGAAATGTGAAGTTATTAAAATGCTTTTGTAAAAAAATTCAAAAGATTTTAACGTCGTTAGGTCCCGAGATATTGCTTCAAATGAATAGTCGTTTTGCTCCCATGTTTCATAAAAAGATATAAAACCATTGCCTTGAAAATGTTGAACGAATTTTATATGTCACTACACTTAAGATTATGTTTGTCAATTTCAAATACTGCAGAAAGAAATTTTTGCGAGTTATTTCGATTCACTCGCAAACAGCGAGTTATTTTATTCACTCGCAAACAGCGGATTCACTTATTCACTCGCAAACTTCTCGCATTTGAAAGTGACTCGCAACTGCATCGCGAGTCACTCGCCCACTCGCCACTCGATACACGTGAGTCATGTCATGTAACTCGAGGTCGGTACTGTAATTTCCAACTCAGTTTTAATTTACTTTTTTAATATCGAAATCAGGAGCGGATCAATGGGTAGGGAACTAATGCACTTGCCAATAGTAAAATTCCTTAGTTGTTCTCAGTTAGATTTTATACTATAATGATACTAGAACAAAATACTTATTAGTTAATTGTTATGTGGTTTGTAGACCAGTCAGTAATCAATTTAGTAATAACTCTGCTGTTGATAGACAGAGAGAAGCCAACTTTTGCCTAACTTCACTAGACGATCTAGCTATTTGACAGGTATACATTTATTTCACCTGACCTAGACAAATTTTTCAAAATTGACATCATCTGGAAGCTTACTTTTTCAATGAGTTTTATAAATTGTGTGTGTTCATTGGCCTACTTTTTGCCTAACTTAAGCGGTAAGCCAAATGAATCAATCATGGTAGTCAGTAAGAATCGTTGTGTTTAGCTTTTTAGGCAAGTAAGTAAATTGTAGATAAAATTTATATGGGACTGCTCAATTTGCATTTGCAAGATATCATTTAGTATGTTTAAAAAATCTCTATAGCAGCTGTTGTGTATTATTTATGCTACCCATGCTGAAGTTTGACCAGTACAGTAATAAGTAAACGTGGAAAACCGCACTCTTTATGACAGTAATAAGACTCCCACTGTGTAAATGTGAATATGTGTTATATTTTTGAAAATTTATGCTATTATTTGTATATTAAGTTATAAATATTTGTCTATAGATAGGTCATATATTTGGTGATGCAATTGCAGGCTAGATCATAAGTTGATCATGTGATGATAAACATGTTCAAGTCATGAGGTTCACATTCTACTGAAAGCAGTTAAGCAATAAGTCTGTAGTATTTAATTTCTCGATTATTACCATTCTACCAAAATATCACTAACCACTTGACTGACATGAGTACTTTCCTTAAAACTGAAGGTGTATTCCTGTATGTAGTTTAGGCAACCATACTTTAGTTGCAAATGTTTGATATATCACTTTACTGCGACTTTGTTTGTGCAATACCCTCTTTTGATTTTGTCCATATGTTTAATGTTCTAACAAATTTAATCTGTAAAAGGGAATGTTAAATGTATATGGATGTTTGTAGATGTAAATTATGTTGTATGATTATAGTACTAATATCATATTTAGCCATCTGATTAACATGTCATTTCGTTTCCACTGAATACTGCCAACTTGAACTGTGTTAGTGACTAATCCTAATTTTTTAAGTCCAACTCTCCAAGTCTACGATGGTTTGTTTGTATTCTTTCTGTAACCTCGAACCATAATCATATCGCCTATCTTGAACACCAAGTCTTTTTCTTTGGTTATCGATCTTTCCATCACCGATTCTGCCAGAGAAGGTCTTCACACGTTCAATCTTGGTCTCGCCCTTCTTCCGAGAAACAGCTTTTTTGGTGTAACCTTTGTCTAACTTTGTACGGTATTGTAAGGTATCGTAATTAGAGCAAAGCCAGTTTGTTATTTAATGTAGAAGATTCACACTACTTAATTATTGTTATCTACTTAAAAGAAAAAACAGCGTGCTCCGCTTCATGATTTTAGCTTGCATGATACGAAGCTACAATTTGATGTGATTACAAAGGGCAGTATCTACAATGTATAAATGAAATAAGTGCGAAAAGGGAGTGTTAAAAAGGGCATGGAAAAGGTATTGAGAAGGATATTTTGTAAAAGGATATGTGAAGGGGGCACTAAAAGGCGGTTTTTAAAGGCTGAAAAAGGGTAGTCCGACAGGAAAAGGGCATTTTTTTCTTTAAATACATTTCTTCGGAAAAAGAATTGTAAACAGTTAATAATGGCCGTAAAGTCCATTGAACTAAATTAGGTCAATATTGAGGCAATGATTTCAAAAATTGATGTTATATGGGCAAGTTTTCGGGTCTTAAGCCTCGTTTTCACGAAAATCGTGATTTTAGCATTATAGCTATTTCCAATAAACTTACACTTTAACGTTGTAAGACGTTTAAATTTATCAAGAAAAAGATAATTTAGTAAAGAAGGCGTATAAGAAAAATAAAATGTTTTACTTTTCCCGATTAGCCTAAATTTTTAATGATTATTTCTAGACGTCATTTCCTAGCGTAAGTCCGCAAAGAAATTTTCGGAAACGAATATTTCTATTGTTCAACTAAATAACTTGTTCAATTTGTCAACTATAAACTAGTAGCTAATGGTGTACGTATTTTTAAGGATTTATGTAGTTTTTAACACTAAATGAATTTAACAAACTACACTTGCTTGTCAGTCATCTTCTTCGAAGTTATCGTATGCGCCATAATCATGCATAGGTTTCTGACCCATTTATCTCTTCTACATTGACTAGAAGTTTATGTATAAATCCTTGGGATGTAAAACATTGAGCACAAAACACATTTTTAAATCTCAAACATGTTTGATTTAAATAACATTAAATATGCGTTATTATTTGAACTATGGTTGTGAACTTACTTTATTTTGTAGCCATTTATACGACAGGTCGCACACATTTAAACACTGCGTGCCTATTTTTTGTGTATTGACACCATGGTTAAAAGTCATTTGTTGATTACATTATGATGAATATTTAAATGTCGATTACATTATGTAAAATATTTTATGCATTTATAGTAAAATCAAATGACGCCTCTTTGACACTTAACAATGACATTATATTTCTGAACTGGACTTACACCAATGGCACCTACTATATCTTTCGCTATAAAATAAAAATTAATTTAGACAATAGAAACATTTCCCAAAACTTTAACTTTAATACGCTGAAATCATACGCACAAGGCTTTATACACAGCTCACAAGCTAAACTTTTGATTAACTTCAGGTCAGCTTGCCTCTAATCGTATATCAGATATGTTTGGAATTATAATTCATTAAGTTTTGTTGCTCTCCTTTTCGTCCAAAATGCACATTTACTATCGAAATTCATTATACATTGGGGAAATCGGAGCAACTCTTATGCATTTAATTGTTTTAGTTTAACTCATCCCTAAATGTACTGACTTTATGTCTTTCAAAGAATTGCAGTTGAAACTGGGGATAGACAGTGACGAAATAGACCTTAGAGACGGTAAAAAACCTGATTTGAGAGGTCAATAAGAGTGGTGCATGCTCATTTTTATGTAACAAATCATTGAATGTGATTCACGTGAAACAGCTTTTTGCTATCATGCATAAGTCGCAAAAATTTTCACAAGGTCTTGGACGTTAACAAGTGATATTTTAATATTTATTGTTGATTTATTTACCATTTTTTCATTTGACAGGTCTTGCATGCAATGGAAGCGTCGTCTGCAAGACTTTATGAAGGAACAAGTGAAGCCAGGAAAGAGCGTCGCAACCCTAATATTGACGGCAAGTAAAACTCATGCCTTGTTACTCACAAATGATAAGTAATTGAATGCAAACCTCGGGTAAACTATTCAACATAAGCAAAATGACGAATGTTTAAGTGGTATGACAAAACAGAACATATCGATGTTTAGGTGAAGGTAAACTAGAGTATGTTAGTAGAGGGCAGAACGAGGTATCAGTGAGTGATGTGTACAGAGGAAAACCAAGGAGATGCGCTGAAAGAGAACAAGGGGAACCTTTATGCTTTGATGTGTTGTTGCCTATTTACTCGATATGATTTATGGCAAAGCAACAGAAAGAGAAACATGTAATCATTTACTGTTGAAATTTTACGCTTGTGTGCGAGGAAGTCTTATATTCTGCATTTTTATAAGAAATAGATATGGCTATATGACGAATGGCTTTTAACCATTCGAACTAAAAAAATGCATGATTTGAGAAATAAAGTATTTGTATTTGTTGCTTGTTGTAGAAGCAAAGTTTCCACACTAGAAAGACATTTCGTTTCATATTACATACATTTTACGCATAGTTTTCAAATTCGAAAATGACGTGAGCAATGAGCATACATCACAACTCAGGTCAGATAATAATGTCAATAAAGAAATATCGAATTTTAAACTGTACGAAATGTATGCAATTGCATAAGTATGAAACTTTTCCCATATTTTCTGATTAGCAGCAAGTTTAAAAAACTTATAAAAAAGCGATGATTTTTTATAAGCAAACATGTTTCTACATTAACAAAATGCCATCTTCAGTACGAAACGATTAGTGCTACAAAATATGATACTTTATAGGAAGATACGATATGAATAAATTGTTTACACTGAATGGGAATGTGATATAATGAAAAGGCATTTTAATGGTTTATCTTGAAAGTCGGTATCTTCCATTGCATCTAGCGATCTGTTATACATCCTCCAGTTTAGAATCTGACTCCTTTCGAGTAATTTTATTCTTAATTCAGACGACTGACACTTAACAATTACTTGGTCTCAACCACGCTTCGAAAATTGATCTACAAAACTAAAATTTTCTGTGTGTCGTCTCAGCTTGATCACAAATTTATCGAATTGTAGTATTATTTACATATAGACGATTCTAAAAATTCTATATCGTATTTTATGATTACAGATAAACTGAACTGCAATCGACTAGATACAATCGTGAATTATCTCAAAGTATATTTTTACAATCTATATTACAGGTTTTTTATGGGTTTGATTGGAATCCACCACTTTTGCCACTTATATTTTCGTATGTCACGTGGTACAAACTGTAAACATTGCGTACATTGTCACAGCTCTATTATATATTCTTATATAGCGTTGACTGATTTTGCTTGAAAAAATTTCGAGTATTCTTTTGGCAACTTTATGATACGAATACCTTTTCTAATTTTGTTATAAATGGCAGTGGTTCTTTTAGCTAGATAGTTGCTAGCTTCTATAGTCAATTATAATCGACTTTAGAAAATGTGAATACTGAATAGTGTTGATGGAAACGATCGTTAAAACGTTATGTGCTTTGTGAATTTCTAACAGCGATTCTCGCCATTTAAAACTGATGAAAAATAGTGAAACTGATAATAAAGTATATTTTTTAAAGTTTCGTGCACAATAAAAGTGAAATTTTGCACCATATTCAACTTTATGTCTAATTGAATGTTTAAATTAGGTATGCCATAGCTAATCCAATTCTTTTTATGTTTCCTAAGATCATTAACTAGACGCTATTTTTATCATTTACCTATTAACTGTTATTTCTTAGCGATTTAAGAAGATAGTTGTGTGACGAAACTGCCCTAAGAACACATCAATACTCAAAAATTTCTGAAGTCAAAACGATCATTGCCGTATGAAATATATGATAGAGCTGTGAACTGTATAGGGAACATACAGTAGGTCCATATTGTGTGCAACTTGCTGCTGTATATTTAATTAGATTATTGGCTGCTGTTAGCCCTTTTATCATTCCTATTGTTCAAAAAAAAAGCAATTGACTGGCTGCCACTATGGTAATCACATGCATAATAAGATATGCGTTTCATGAAAAAATTAATGGAGTGGCTCTACTGTATATTCACTACACTGTTGCTGTTACTATGTACGCAATGTTCACAGTTTCTAGGTACCACGTGGCATGCAAAATATTACTCCATAGAAATAAGGAATGAATATTATTCACAGAATGCACGTATGTATGTAAATGAAAAAGACACAAGAAGACCACGTTTAAAGAATAAGAGGTAGACATAGAGTAGAGTATGGCTCTGTTTACATGAGACCGGAACGAAGTCTAACCGCGGTACCGGCATGTTTGGGTCATAATATTATTTACAGTAGATGTTTACATGGGACCGTTACGAAAATGACTCAGAGCGGTCTGAAGTCGTACCGCCTGCTGAACTGATCCGACTGAGTTCAGAACGGTATGAATTGAAACCGGCATCAATGTAAACTCAAATTAATGCTCAAACCGGTGTGAAATGGCATCAACGCATGCGCCCAAAAGGAAATTACAAAAGCAAAATGACTAACAAGTGTAAAACTAGCCTGCAAAGGAGGCATTACGCGAATGAGAAACAAATTCTGATTTTCATTCCAGTTTAACTTCTTTATGTTCTCATGGAAACAGGGCCTACGTAGATAGGGCGAAGGCCATTATCAGTTTTGTACACAGTAAGAAGCGTAGAGAAAAACCAAAGAATAGGAAGTGTATGAATACACTGAAGGAAGACAAGGGTAACCTCTACTTGTTTGTCATCATGAATGACGAAGTCTTAGCTTTAGTTAGGAAAGTGCTCATTTTTAGCAGTTTTCTTACAAACACTATGTATTCATACAGTTTGGGTTAGTGTAAATTAACCATTGGCCAAATGTTTCCATACAACGGAGAAGAGGAATCATGCTCTAGAATATAGAGGAAAGAGTAATGAGGTTACACGAAGTAGAAGTTCAGATTGATGTAGAGTATATGTGGATGGGTTAGAGAAAAGAATCTTTTATGTTAAATGGCAAAATAATTTCAACTATTATGAAAAGAAAGGTTTACAAGACAGTACAAATCCGACATTGTTGTATGGTTTTAAGATAGTGGCAATGGGAATAAGACAGATGACATTTTTCTGTATCGCTTGCCTTTAATCTTAAGAGGTATATGTTTGCTTTATTGATTAATTTTTGACAACTTTAATGATTGGTGCTAAAATTTTACAAAAATTTAAAGTCGTTATCCAAATTTTAAGCGTATTTGAGTAAATTTGAGGTACATATTCTTATGAATTTGATTTGTTTTGTTGCACTCACCTCTGAATGTAATACTTTTATGTCATTTGAAGAATGGCCGTTACAAGAGTTGGAATATATGGGTCATTCAGTTCAGCATAAAGAACTGTTGACAGAATTGTGTTATCCCGGAGCAGACATTAAACATGTGGGCAATGTACGTGTAATTTTCTCGGAGAAGTTTAGGCTCGGCAAAGGAAGTGATGAAACCCGTGTTTATCTTGGACTGACACAGGATGGTTACGGTAAAGCAGTGAAACGAATTCGTAAAGATAACTACGTCCAGCCTGCACAGCATGAAAAGGAAATTTTAAGCAAATTCAATGCAAGAAAGTCAAAATATGTTGTGAATTATTACTTCTTAGAGGAAGCTACTGGAACAGAATATGTTTATTTGATCTTAGACTTATGTGAGGAATCACTGGAAAAGTTTGTGGATAATTCTACTATACTTGATCTTCAAAAAGCTCTTCCCAATATTCTTAGACAAATTTTGAATGGATTAGCTGATCTTCATAGTGGCCCAGATCCTATTCTTCATCGGGATTTGAAGCCTAACAATGTTCTCCGTGACGCAGACGGCAAATTTTTGATAGCGGACTTTGGCATTAGTCGAATATTGAAAAATGGATCTAAAACACACAATAGCAAGTTTAACAGGGGAACTGAATTTTGGATTGCTCCAGAAGCAGTAGATGAGGAAGATTCGAACAAAGCACCTAATGAAGCACGTTACAAAAAAGAGTCTGATGTATATGTAAGTGTAAGAATGTTAACATTTATAAAACTCACAGCGAAATTTAATTTTGTAAGAGTTTAATTTTGCTGTTAACGTTACATTTCTTATAATCGTAGAATGCAGGAATGGGGCATTTATTAATGGAATACTTAGTAGCTATTGTGTGTTTATCTATCTTCTTTAAATAAAGGTTTGACCTTACGCTATTTTAGAATGCAGGAATGGTGGCTTATTATGTTGCAACAAAAGGGAAACATCCTTTTGGAGCTAAACGGTATAAATTGGACAATATGTTAAATGGAAACCCTGTTGGCTTGGACGAAATCAAGGATGAAACATTAAAAGACCTTCTGTTGTGGATGTTAAAACGACAACCAGAAGAACGACCATCTGCCAACGAAGCCTTGAAACATCCATTTCTTATGTCGGATAACGAGAAATTTGAATTTTTATGTAAAGTTGGAAAACTACAGTCGACTAAAACAAATGATCGTGAAGCTAGTATCGTCCAACATTTGAATATTGAATCTTCAAACTGGAGAAGCCAAATGGATAACGATGTTTATGAATATTTGGTAAATGGAAGAAATTATGGATATTCATGGACAGAATGTTTAAGGCTCATTCGAAATATTGGCATGCATTGGAACGATAGACCACGGCCTCTACCACAACCAGAAGCATTTTATAAGATTGGCGATCACAGGACGTATTTTCTCAAAACGTTCCCCAGTCTCCCTGTTCAGGTACATGCTGCTGTCAGGTCAAATGAAGAATTGAAAGACAAACTAAAACTTAAGGGTAAGCATACTAGCTTAATAATTCACATATCGTCAAAGATATGGATGAGGCAGGGTAAGGTGAAAACAAATTCTTTTTCTTGATGTTAATATTACTAATTTTTTATGTATATATGCCGTACGAGTTTCTATACACTTGACTTGTTTTATTGTTTATTGATCGCGATCCCAGTCTCCCAGAAGATGAATGTATTTTACATTTCTCCTCAATGTTTTTAGTTAATTTCGGTAACATTTCGCACCTTTCAAATATGTTAACTGTCATCATCAACTTGTTTACTTGTCAAGACTTTTTAAATTTGTATTATACTGTATTGGAAGAAAAGCACGTTGCAATTAGCAATTTAAGTAGCATGTGAAATGCAAAAATGGTTTAAAATTAGGTTTTCAGAGGAGTATTATTAGGCTCAGAATGAGTATGAATGCTGTTAGGTTGTAAGAATTGCACGGTCGTGGACGTTAGTAAGAAATTGAGCATGTTCACTTTGAGAAAAATACTGACCTATATTAAAAGTGGTTGCAATCATTATCAAATGGTTATTTTGTCTATATAAACATCGCATAAACAAGTATAAACAGTTAAAATAACCATGGTTCTTCAAAGAATCTGTACCTTCTCATAGCGAAAGTAATATTTCGAGATATCTGTGATAGGAAAACCACATGGGATGCACAGTTGCCGGAAGGTATCAGGAAGTGTTAGGAAAAATTGTCGAGGAGTTTGCCAAGTGAGTTAAGTTTTCCAAGAAGCATTCCTCGGATAAGAGTAGGGACTACAGCAGTTTACATTCATGGGTTTTCCGATGCGTGTATATTGGAATGCTCTGCAACGGTGTATGTGGTGACAAAACAATGCGAAGTGGTTTCGCAAGGGCTGTTGGTATCAAAAGCAAGATTAGCAAAATTAACTATTCCAAGATTGGAACTTGTAAGTTGTCATATGGTTTCCAACCTGGTGGACAAAACACAGAAAGTCCTCAGCTATCTCCCTGTCGAATCTGTTTACGCGTGAATTGATTAAACTGTCTGTCTTCAATGGATCATCGGTGGAGGCAACTACAAGCAGTTTGTTTCAAATCGTATGGAAGAAATAATGAGAAACAAATTGAGTGGAAGTAAGTATCAACCTACGAAAATCAAAAGTAATGAAGAGAACCATTCCAAAAGAGATCGATTTCATTGATCATATGGTGGAAAAGTATGTCCTGTCCAAAACTGTACGAGTCCTAGCATGGTGTAAGAGATTCATTGACAACTTAGAAAGTAATAAGAAAACAAGTGGTGCATTATTGACAGAAGGAACTTAGACGATAATGAAGTTACTGATCAAACAAGCTCAAGCTGAAAACGAGGTGATGGAGAATTTCGAAAACAATTCTGTCAAACCTTATTTTAAAAAGATCAAGACGTAAAATACATTTGTAAAGGAAGAATCCAAGGGAAATATCCAGTGTATCTTCCAGCAAAGCATTTATCATCTAAGAACGTTGTAAGACGAGCTTATACACTAACCATATACGGGGTAGTCGGACTTATCATGATGAAATATGAGATGAAATATGAAGTAAACCTTATGATTTATTGATTATGTTTACGTGAACAAGAAAAGACTAAAACATTAAAGAAAACATTAAAGAGTGTGTCGTGAATGTTAGCAAATTCTAGTAAAAACTATAAGATCAGGGAACTTATTATGCTAAGTTTGATTGAGAGAGATGTCAAAATGAGAGTGGGTTATTTTTGTAAAAGAGTTGTGATGTAAATGGTGTTATTTTAGAGACATAAACAATAAGACTTAATTAATTAACTGCAATTCGGGCTTCGTCAAACTTTTTGTGGGAATCGAACAACATATACCTCAAAATATTTTTTGGCATTCGGTGAATTAGAGTTGCTACTTTGGCACGGGCGATACTAGAACGTTATGGGATGAATATTCATACATTCAGCTCTGTCCTGCTGATTTCTTTTGAAATTATAGTCGCTAACAAAACAAATCAGTCAAGCATTTATGAATATATGAATATATATCCCACCCCCACCCCACTTAACGCTCTGTGTTCTGTGTAGCACCTGTTTAGGGATCCGACATCAGATGTTTAGTTTTCACGTTTGTAATTGATTATTTTATATATTTTATGGTATTTGACGTGAAACCTTGGCTAGCCCTGTTGTGAGTGTGGCAAACACGGGTGATGAGCTGGACGGGATCCGGTGTCGGATTTCTAACCCCGGCGTTAATTATATTTGTTTCAAAAATTCCATAATGCACTACTTTTATGTCATTTTAAGAATTGCAGTCACAAGAATGGAAATTTATTGGTGAATCAACAAAGCATAGAAAAATGTTGTTAAAATTGTGTGAATATGGGGCCAGTGCATTTAAAAAGGTTAAACATGTGGGCGATGTGCGTGTAATTTTCTCAGACGAGTTTTGCATCGGCAGAGGAAATGATGGAACACCTGTATATCTTGGACTGAAGAAGGATGGTTACGGCAAAGCTGTGAAACGAATTCGTCGAGATAACTTCATCGATCTAACCCGCCGAGAAAAGGAATATTTGAATGAACTCAACGCAGAGGGATCGGAATATGTTGTGAACTATTCATACTTAGAGGAAGACAATGACACGGAATATGGCTATTTAATATTAGACTTATGTGAGGAATCGTTGGAAAGTTTTGTGAAGTCTTCTACTTTGTCTGATCTTCAAAAATCTCTTCCCGAAATTCTCAAACCAATTTTGAAAGGATTAGCTTATCTTCATAGTGGCCCGCATCCTATTCTTCATCGCAATTTAAAGCCTTCTAATGTTCTCCGAGACTCACAAGGCAAATTTCTTATAGCTGATTTTGGCATAAAAACCATGGCTAATGTGGGAACTGAGTTTTGGATTGCTCCTGAATCATATTGTAAAGAAGAAGATTCGTTTGAGAAAGCTCGTTACAAAACAAAGTCTGATGTAATGGTGAGTGTGGGAATTTACTGCATCGTCAATTTGACTACTTTTTCTTAAGTCATTTTAGGAGTTTCGAGATAATGAGAAAAGAACTGACATAATTTTAAGAACAGACAAACTTTTTATTTAATATCATATATTGAATACTTATTTAAGGTTTTTTGATTGGTAAATTAACTTCGGAAATAAGTAGCTACGGATCACACAAGTCAGCAAAAAGTAACTTTCGGCAAAAGTATCAAAATTGAAAAAAGACTAGGAAAAACGTTAGTTAGTTACCTGAAGATCTAAATTTAATTGCATGAATTTAATCTCTGACAATAGATTGTTACTGTAACATTTCTAATTGGAAAACTGAAATTGTCTTTACTAAGTTGTGCAACCGCCTGTTATTAAATATACTGAAGTTGTCGTCTCTAGAAAGCTATAATTTAAGATGCGGAAATTTATTTTTGTTCAATTGAACTCCGATTATGTTAATATATTGTAGGCTAAATTTCTAAATTTTATAAATAATTTTATGGTATAAGCTTAAAATTTTGATTTATTATATCGCTTGTGTTATATAAGTCTAGCACCATCTAAGAGGGCTACAAATTAATTTAGTTACTTATTAGCTATTATGTGTTTATCCTCTTTAAACAAAGGTTTGAACTTAGGCTAACTATTTTAGAATGCAGGAATGGTTGCTTATTATGTTGCAACAAAAGGGAAACATCCTTTTGGAACTAAACCACACAGACTAATCAACATGTTGAAGGGGGAACCTGTTGACATGGACGAAATCAAGGATGAAACATTAAAAGACCTTCTGTCGTGGATGTTAAAACTACAACCAGAACAAAGACCATCTGCCAACGAAGCCTTGGAACATCCATGTCTTATGTCGGATGACGAGAAATTTCACTTTTTATGTAAAGTTGGTAACTTACAGCCGATTAAAACAAATGATCCCCAATCTACTATCGTTAAACAACTGAATAAAGAATCTTCCAATTGGCAAAGTCAAATGGATAAAGATGTTTATGAATATTTGGTAAATGGAAGAAAGTATGGACATTCATGGACAGAATGCTTAAGGCTCATTCGAAATATTGGCCAACATTTGCACGATCGAACACTGCAAAAGGCACAACCAAAACCTATTTTTAAAATTGGAGATCACAAGGCGTATTTTCTTAAACTTTTCCCCAGTCTCCCTGTTTGGATACATGCAGCTGTTAGGTCAAGTGATGAATTGAAAGACAATCCAGAACTTAAGGGTAAGCATACTAGCTTGAATTTTCACATTTTTTATTACACTTCATTTATGTGATCGTTGTATAATAGCAATTTGATTTTACAATACTTTTACGTGATATTGATATCATTTCTTTGCTCATCAGTCTTGATTTACTTAAATTCGAATGGAAATAATATTACATGTTTGTAAATGTAAATCGTCCAGGTTGTTATAGTCTGAGAAAGACTGTTTTTGTTGCTGTTGACTGATGTTTCGACAACCTTACTGGTAGTCATCTTCAGAGTCAAAAGAAGAAGAAGAACAACAAAAACAGTCCTTCTCAGGACTATACCAACCTGGACGATCTAAGTTTACAAACATGCAACGATACTCCCGGGTTCAAACCATTTACTTTATTAGAAAAAATGTTACGAGAAAAAATATTTATTACTACCATAGATATATATTGTGAAAATTTTTAATAAAAAAAAATAAAATTTCTAAAGCGTAGTCATTCGCTCTAAAAAGAATGAGTGTTGAGTTTTGATTATAAATTTCAAACGGAATGTTCTATTTTTCTTAACAAAAAATTTCTTGCCATAGAAAAACTGAAGAGTCATTTCAACTGGAAAGATAACTCATCTAATTGCTCTATTATTAGATTAAGGCACTGAAAAGGCCTAAGAAGACCTGCACTTACCCTATTCGCACGTCTTTTGACTTTTTCAATTTGAAAATATGTTCGTACTCCCTTGATTTAACCCTTTTTCTTGCAGTGAAGCAGATCTGTAACATTCACTAAACAAAATTGCCGGTAATTTTTCGAAAAGTTTGCTACCTAAAGAGTTAATATTAGGAATTAAATAGACAGCAAAAAGCAGAAGTATTTTATGTTTTTCGTTGATAAAATGTCTTTCGCCATTTTTGAACAAAAAAGAACTGAAGCGACCTGCATAGCTACCATATACTGTCCTCAAAGATTGCGGTCAGTTACCGTTGCAGTTGATATTATAATTCAGGATACTATGCTGGAACCAAAATAATTTTATTATTACGTATGCATACAACGAAAACACAAGGTCGTTTTGATGATTTATTGGATCAAATTTGAACGTGTCTTTGAGATCTTAGTAACATTATAAAACGTTGACATAAACGTACGTATAATATTCACATTATGAAATTTGTTGAGAATATTGTTATTTGAGTCGACTTGTCATGCAAACACGAATTTTGTACTTTTTCCATAGCTATTTTATCTGGAGAAGAGAAGAAGAAACGATGTTTTCAAGGTAAGTATATGGTAATACAAAATTTTGATTTCAGGGTCACAACTTATGCATGATATACGTTTTTAAGTTACTTGAAATCTATTATTGATCGACAGATTACAACTTGGCCATGCAATTATTTCCCCAATATTAGCCCCCTCCAAATTATAAGTTGTACGGCAGCCCTGGATATATAGCCTATGGGGATTGTACCATTCGACAAAATGACTTCTTTCAATGCTAATGCATGATGTAGACATATTGTTTACATTTCTTTATTTTTCATCAAGTACATGGTATTTTATCAGTAGTCATATTTGCATCATAAAAATAGATAGTGAAGAGTCTCTCTAGAAGGCAAGTGTCCATAGTGGAATAATGTTTTTTTGCATTGGGGATAATTTGAGTTTCTTTTATATGATTTATTGTTTTGGTTTCCCTTACTTTTGACTGTATGTATAATATTTACTCTTATGTATGAAATAAGAAACATACTCCAGAGAAAAGCTACATTTTGACCTCAATATTTGAGAAAACAAACGAGACAGTTATTTCATTCTGTAATGTTTTGATTTAATTACAAAGTCATCATCAGACGATAAATATTTACAAGCTAACTGTGGCTGCCTGTATATTTGTTTATTTCCATCATTTCGAAGGAAGTGTGAGTGCGGAAGTGTGAATTTTTTGGGAAGATTAAGTTGATTGTATTACTTGCTCCAGGCCATTGTTAAGTTCTGGTTTGTAGGATTTAATAAAGAGTACTGTAGGATCGAGATGCATAGAGCTTAGGTTATGCTAATTATTATGCTAATTATTATAAACAAAAAGGGACCCGTATAAAAGCATGGTTCTTGGGGTCTTTTGAGATTGAGCACAATTCATGTATAGTGGTGTATTTTTTGTACATGGATGTTTATATTTAGTGGCCAAATTACGAGGTAACGATGATTACGGCTTTAGGCCTCCTTGTCGGTTGTGTTAATATCTATACTCTGTCGTTTAGAACCGTACGTTTGACGCATTGCATTGAAATAAAGATTTATCTGTATACCGGTCGTCGTTTTAATAGTAGTTTATGTACGAGTATCTTGCTGGTCACATAAGCCTGGAATTGTTGAAGCTTATATAGTTCTCGTAATTGTTGTTTAATCGATCAGCAATGACTCAGAAACGAAAGGGTCAAGGTAAAAAGTCGAAAATTAAAGGCTTATCAAAACGCGTACTTCAGCCGTCTGGCGAACAGTTAAGTCCTCCAGGTCAAGTGAGTCGAGCTAAATCTGGAGAGAATTCGCTTAACAATACGAATCAAGACATGATTGAATCCGCTGAAGATGACGGTAGCGAGCGAGCTGAAAGCGGACCGAACGTCGTCGTACAAAACAAGCAAGTTGTCGTTTCTGACGAGGCTTCGACGAGTTTGGGTTCGCCGGAGCGAGTAGCAGACGAACAGGAACAGGAGCTTGAACTTGGTCTAAGTCAGGTCGCTTCATTTTTGAAGGATAATTCGGTTTTATCGCCTCTTGCTCCTGTATTCCAGTCCAATTCTAATATCGGTAAACAAGCAGCTTCTCACGTGAACGTCACGCGGACTGCTCGTGCGGGAAAAGCCGACGCAAACAACAAATTTTGAAGACAACGGGGCTGGAGTAACGAGCGCGCTTGATTCAAAATGGGCAGAACGGTTTCGTGAACTTGAAGAATTGGAAATTAATAGAAGAGAAGAGCTGAACAAGCAGATGAGGGAGGCAAGGCTTAAACTAGAGAAAGAAATGCATCAGGCGAGAATTGAGCATGAGATGGCTATGAAGAAACGGGAAATACAACGACGTCGAGATGAGCTTCGGAAGCTTGAAGAAGAAGTTTTTGGTAATGATATTGAACATCAACTGTCGGACAGGGAAAGTAGTAGTAACGCTCGTGAACCAGATAAAAACCCAGTCCAGCAACCTTCAACCCCAATCGACAGAAGCAGTTTAAGTCAGCGCTTGGCGATACCTCCTCCGGAAATTGTGTACCCCAAGAAAGTATAATAACCAGTGGAACTGGATGTCAAACTCAGCAAAGCTTGCAACGAGACAATTCGTCGCAGTTACAATATCTATTAGAGAAGCAGCAGATTACGATGGACGAAGTAGTGAAGGGATTAAGAATGCCTCAAAGGGAATACATGAGTTTTGATGGCGAACCTCGCAACTTTCCGTTGTTCATGAAGAATTTTGAAGTGAATGTCGAGAGTAAAGAAAGTAATGATGCAGATCGACTGAATTACCTTATTCAGTATTGTAAAGGAACAGCAAGACAAGCGATAGAGCATTGCATCATTATGCCTCCGGATCAAGGATACAAGCGTGCTAAGGAAATCCTGAGAAAAAACTTTGGTCGAAATCACATCGTAACCCAAGCATTCCTTGAGAAAGTCTTGAATGGACCGCCAATTAGAGTAAACGAAGCCGAGAAATTGTCGCAGCTAGCAAGAGATATGGAAACGTGTCTCCTTGGTTCTATTCAGTTAGGAAATCGGGCAAGTATCAATTCGATGGACACTCTGGGAAGGGTAGTTAGCCGCCTTCCAATGCATCTCAAGTCAAAATGGGCTGATAAAGCAAGCCATATGTACAACAATCACATCACACCAGATTTCTCTCATTTAACTGAATTCATACAATCCCGCGCAGCCGTGGCTAGTACGTACTTTGGTCAAATGATTACCTCGAAAAATGAAACCCGAAAGGATGGAACTGACAGATTGAAGAAGAAATCCTTCTTGTTTAGTGGGAATAGCACAAACTTAGCAACTCACAGCCAGAGAATATTTGACAGTAGTGAATCAAAGGGAAGAAATTTATCCTGCGTACTATGCAAAGGCACACACCATCTTGAACGCTGTCACAAGTTCAGGGCTCAAAATCTTCAGCAACGACAAGACCTAGTAAAGACGCACAAAGTTTGTCATGCTTGCCCAGGACATTTCGTGAAAGACTGCAGAGGTGCCCGCATATGCGGTGTTGAAGGTTGTCAGAGAAGGCACCATCCTTTGTTACACTCATCCGAAATAAAGGCTAAGGATTCTAAATCAAGTGAAAGGAGTAATCCAAATCCTGAACCATCTGAAAGCGACAGCCAATCCAAAGCACTCCCAACGTCTGGAGTTGGCGCGACAAATTCATCATATAGCAGTTGTCGTATAGGTTTGCAAGTTATTCCAGTTAAGGTCAGCGCACCCTATGGTAGTCGTGTGATAGAAACTTATGCGTTCTTAGACAGTGGCTCCAACACAACCATGTGCTTAACCAGTTTAGCTGAAGATCTTGGAGCCGATTGCTCACCCATCGAATTCACGTTAGCGACTGTTTCAGGCAGCCACAAAGTAAGGGTCAACAGTTATCTCTCGATGTGGTTGGAGTATCCACGGGCAAAGGTGTCAGACTAGATAAAGTTTGGACGACCAACACTCTTCCTGTTGCTCTGGAAAGTATTCCCACGAACACTGATGTAAAGGGTGGTCTCACCTTAAAGGCGTTAATCTAACCGATTTAGTGGATAAGAAAGTCACTATCCTTATTGGAAGTGACGTTCCCGAAGCTCTTTGCCCCCTTGAAGTGCGTTCTGGGAAAAGAAATCAACCCTACGCAATACGGACAATCCTCGGTTGGACGGTGATGGGACCTCTGAAGGAAAACCTTATCAAGAAGCTCAGATGAACTTCATTCATGTTGATCAAGCTCTTGGGTGTATGGAAAGGGAAGATGGTATGAGTTCCATTCGTCAGCAATTGCAAAATCTCTACAATTCAGAGTTTAGCGAGTCGGCTGCTGACGTTAAAGAATGTCTGTCGGTCGAGGATCGTCGCGCAAAGGCAATAATGGATAGAACTGTCAAGCTAGAAAATCATCAATATGAAATTGGTCTTCCTTGGAAATACGATGACCCACCTCCCGTACAATAAGTCTATGGCTGAAAGGAGACTTGCTTATTTGAAGAAACGACTTGAGAGGGACCCCATACTTCACGCAAATTATAAGGCAACGATGAAGGAATACATCTCAAAAGGGCACGCTAAAGTAGTTCAAGTGGATAAACAAAATACACAGGACGAGTCACTCAAAAAACTGGTTTGGTATCTGCCTCATCACCCTGTGACACACCCGCAAAAACCAGAAAAGACAAGAATCGTTTTGACTGTGCTGCGAAGTTCCACAACGCATCCCTAAATAATCAGCTTCTTCAAGGACCAGATTATACCAATTCATTAGTTGGTGTATTGTTGCGGTTCAGGCAGGAAAAGATAGCGGTAATGGCAGATATTGAGAAGATGTTCCATCAGGTGAAGGTTAAGCCAGAAGACTGTAATGCACTGAGATTTCTATGGTGGCCAGAGGAGATCTATCCAAAGAACCAGTAGAGCATCAAATGACTGTTCATTTATTCGGAGCAACCTCTTCCCCAAGTTGTTGTTCTTACGCGTTAAAAGAACAGCTTCAGATAATCGGGAAGAATTCAGCAAACAAGTTGTCGACACAGTTGATCGCTTTTATGTAGATGACTGTCTCAAGTCTTTACCAGAAAGGAAAGAAGCAATGAAGTTGGTAGACGAACTACCAGTTTTGCTGTCTCGCGGTGGATTCCATCTCACAAAGTGGGTGTCAAATGATCGAGAAGTCTTATCTCACGTACCTAACAAAGAAAGAGCGCCATGCGTCAGCCTTCAGTTGGAGAAGTTGCCGATGGAGAAAGCATTGGGCGTTCAGTGGAATACGGAAAGGGACACGTTGGGATTCCGGGAAGCAAATTGAAAGCAGAGTCAAGAAGAGGGATTCTATCGTTCATAGCTTCGGTCTACGATCCCTTGGTCTAGTCGCTCCTGTCGTTTTACCAGCCAAACGCATAATGCAAAACCTGTGTCGAGTAAATCACGGCTGGGACGAAGATCTCCCAATCGAGACAAGCGAAATATGGCATGACTGGCAAAGCGAATTCCATTCCCTTGTGAAATTAGAAATACCTCGATGCTATAAACCGCACGAATTTAACAAGACAAGGAATGCGGAACTCCACTATTTTGCTGACGCATCGACTGAAGGATATGGGTAGCAACGTACCTTCGGCTGGAAGATACCCAAGGAAGGATTCATTGTACCTTAGTTATGGGCAAATCAAGAGTTGCACCTCTTAAAACAGTCACGGTACCCAGATTGGAACTAACCGCTGCAACATTGGCCGTGAAGCTGAATAAACAAATTTGTGATGAGTTGGATCTGTCAATAAGTCAAATTGTTTTCTGGAGCGATTCAATGATAGTGCTGCGTTACATTAAGAGCGAGAACAAAAGGTTTCAAACCTTTGTAGCGAATCGATTACAAGTTATTCACGATGCTTCTACTCCGAATCAATGGAGACATGTGCCAACCAAGCTCAACCCAGCCGACCTTGCATCAAGAGGTATAAGTCTTGGTCGCGCAACAGGCCAAGACCAACGGGACTTGCAGTTTTGGTTGAACGGACCCGATTTCCTTTGGAAAGATCCCAAATTATGGCCAACGCAGCTAGATGACATACCAGACGTAGAAGACACAGATGTGGAAGTAAAGAAACCTAAAGCAAGAGTTGGTGCCGTCATCAACTCAAAGGATGCACCCCCTGATTCGCTAATACAACTTATCCATCGAACATCCGAATGGTACAGATTGCAGAAGTCGGTTGCATGGCTGCTAAGATTCAAACAGTACATCTTAAGCCGTTATCCAAACGGTCCAGGATTAGAAGTACAACGTGGTCCTCTAAAGGTAAAAGAGATTGAATCGGCAACCCAGGAAATAATTAAACTTACCCAACGAAGTTCATCTATCAACGAGAAAACTATGAGAGAGAGATACGCTAAACTATGTCCAGTCATCGCCGGAGGAATTGTGAGAGTTGGTGGACGTTTGGATAAATCATCGCTGCCGGAAGAATCTAAACATCCCGCAATTCTTGATTCCAGTCATCACGTTACAAAGCTCATTGTCCGGTATTACCATGCAAAGGAAGGTCACGCTGGAACCAGTCAAACTCTAGCAGCAATACGGCAACGCTTCTGGATAATAAAGGGACCTAGCACTGTGAAGAGTATAGTCAATAATTGTGTTCCGTGTCGTCGCCGAAACCAGTCTCCAGGGAAGCAGATAATGGCCCCACTGCCAAAAGCTCGTGTGAAATCTGGTGAGTACCCGTTTTCATCTGTGGGAGTCGATTATTTTGGACCTCTTAAAGTCAAATATAAAGAGGAACTGAAAAACGATATGGCTGTGTATTCACTTGCTTAGCCATAAGGGCCATACACATTGAGATTGCACATGACCTATCGACAGATTCCTTCATTCAAGCCGTATGTAGGTTCGTCAGTCGACGCGGACCGCCGAATGAGTTGTTCAGTGACAACGGGACGAATTTTAGAGGAGCGGAATCTGAAGTTAAGCAAATGTTGCAAAATTGGAATCAAGCTAGAATATTAGATCGTCTAAGAAAAGGGAATTCAATGGCATTTCTCTGCTCCGAAAGCAAGCCATAGCGGGGGAGTTTGGGAGCGCATGATCAGAACAATCAGGAAGCAAATGCGTGTTATAATAGGAGACCGAGTTGTTGATGATGAAACACTCCTTACAGTAATGTGCGAAGTCGAGAAAATAGTGAATGATCGGCCTCTTGTACGGCAGTGTGATGACCCTCGAGATTTATCAACTCTTACACCAAACACTCTACTCCTGCGTTATCGAAACATAAGCACAAGTGCAAGTTCTTCACCTACGGCAAATAACCCCCGAGAAATATGGAAACGAGCGCAGAAGTTAGCTGACCAATTTTGGGCAAGGTGGTTAAAAGAATACCTGCCAAGTTTGCAAGAACGACAGAAATGGCTACACCCAAAACGAAACTTAATCAAAGGTGATGTCGTTTTGATGGTGATGGAAGATACTCCCAGAGGTGAATGGCCTCTAGCGATAGTTGAAGAAACATTTCCCGATAGCAACGGACATGTTCGGCAAGTAGAGATCCGCACGGCGAATCAAAGTCGTTATCGTCGAGATGTCAGGAAGTTGTGCCTATTGGAGACTGCGAAGTAAAGCGAGAAATTCTTCAGAAAACGAACGTTATTGTTGTTGTCACTTAACTGTTATTATTATTTTGTTTACGTTAAACGACGGTATCTATTGGTTTATGTTTGGTTATTCGACAAGATTGGTGGACACATTGTTTAAAACTTGCGCAAGTTAACATTGAAAACATTTGTATTGTAGCTCTCGATCCTTTTTGAATTATTGAACGACGTATAGTAGGTCGTTCGGGGCTGGTATGTAGGATCGAGATGCATAGAGCTTAGGTTATGCTAATTATTATGCTAATTATTATAAACAAAAAGGGACCCGTATAAAAGCATGGTTCTTGGGGTCTTTTGAGATTGAGCACAATTCATGTATAGTGGTGTATTTTTTGTACATGGATGTTTATATTTAGTGGCCAAATTACGAGGTAACGATGATTACGGCTTTAGGCCTCCTTGTCGGTTATGTTAATATCTATACTCTGTCGTTTAGAACCGTACGTTTGATGCATTGCATTGAAATAAAGATTTATCTGTATACCGGTCGTCGTTTTAATAGTAGTTTATGTACGAGTATCTTGCTGGTCACATAAGCCTGGAATTGTTGAAGATTATAAGTACTTCCATTAGTAGAAGTCAGTTTTTGTTTAAGTTTTTGTTCTAGTAAATAAAGTATTTTGTATTTGCCAATTATGAGATCAAGTGTGCTGAAAATGTAGAGATTTAAACGTTTTTCATGTTTTGCACAATGGAAAAAATCAATAATGAAATTACCATTTATTTGTACAAAACATGATTTACATCATAAGGATGAGACGGTTATGCTCCGAGAAATCAGTAAAACTCCGCAATTGACAAATGGGAGCTTAAGTTTTCAAATTGATCATCTTCTTTCTTTCTAATTGTTGGGTAATTTTCCAAGCCAAGATGTTGTTACGGTTTGATGATAATTGATGACGAGACTTCGTCTTTCCTGATGATTTATGGCAAAGCAACAGAAAGAGAAACATGTAATGATTTACTGTTGAAATTTTACGCTTGTGTGCGAGGAAGTCATATATTCTGCATTTTTATGAGATATAGATATGGCTATATGACGAATGGCTTTTAAACATTCGGACTAAAAAAATGCTTGATTTGAGAAATAAATTATTTGTATTTTTTGCTTGTTATAGAAGCAATGTTTCCACACTAGAAAGACATTTCGTTTCATATTATATACATTTTACGCATAGTTTTCAAATTTGAAAATAACGTGGAGCAATGAGCATACATCACAACAGAATTCAGACAATAATGTCAATAATGAAATATCAAATTTTAAACTGTTTTTTGTACGAAATGTAAGTAATGGCATAAGTATGGCACTTTTATTATAGTTTCTGAGTAGCAGCAAGTTTAACAAACATTTAAAAAAACGACGACTTTTTATAAGCAAACATGTTCTACATTAACAAAATGCCATCTTCAGTACGAAATGATTAGTGTTGCGAAGTATGATACAGTATAGGAAGATACAATATGAATAAATTGTTTATTTTGAATGGGATCGTGATATAATAAAAAGCGTTTTAATGGTTTTATCTTGAAGTCGGTAGCTTCCATTGCATCTAGCGATCTGTAGTACATCTTCTAGTTTTGAATCTGACTCCTTTCGAGAAATTTTATTCTTAATTCAGACGACTGACACTTAACAATTACTTGGTCTCGACTATGCTTCGAAAATTGATCTACAAAACTACAATTTTCTGTGTGTCGTCTCAGGTTGAACACAAATTGATCGAATTGTAGTATTATTTACTTATAGACGATTCTAAAAATCCTATATTGTATTTTGTGACTACAGATAAACTGCACTGCAATCGTCTAGATACAATCATGAAATATCTCAAAGTATATTTTTACAATCTATACTACAGGTTTTTTATGGGTTTGATTGGAATCCACCACTTTTGCCACTTATATTTTCGTATGTCACGTGGTACAAACTGTAAACATTGCGTACATTGTCACAGCTCTATTATATATTCTTATATAGCGTTGACTGATTTTGCATGAAAAATTTCGAGTATTTTTTGGCAACTTTATGATACGAATACCTTTTCTAATTTTGTTATAAATGGCAGTGGTTCTTTTAGCTAGATAGTTGCTAGCTTCTATAGTCAATTATAATCGACTTTAGAAAATGTGAATACTGAATAGTGTAGATGGAAACGATCGTTAAAACGTTATGTGCTTTGTGTGTTTCTAACAACGATTCTCGCCATACAAAATTGATGAAAAATAATGAAACTGGTAATAAAGTATGTTTTTTAAAGCTTCATGCACAATAGAAGTGAAATTTTGCACCATATTCAAGTTTATGTCTGATTGAATGTTTAAATTAGGTACGCCATCACATGGCTAACCCAATTCTTTTATGTCACCCCAAGATCACTAACTAGAAGCAACTTTTATCATTTACCTATTGACTGTTATTTCTAAGCGACTTAAAAAGATAGTTGTGTGACGAAACTGCCCTAAGAACACATCAATACTCGAAAATTTCTGAAGTCAAAACAGTCATTGCCGTATAAAAATATATGATAGAGCTGTGAACCATATAGGGAATATACAGTAGGTTCATATCGTGTACAAATTGCGGCTGTATATTTAATTACATTATTGGTTGCTGTTAACCATTTTATCATTCCTATTGGTCAAAAAAAACAATTGCCACTATGTTGATCACATGCGTAATAAAATATGCGTTGCATGAAAAAATCAATGGAGTGGCTCTACTTTATATTCACTACCCTGTGGCTCTGACAATGTACGTAATGTTCACAGTTTCTAGGTACCAAAAAATATTACTTGTGTTTTCTAAGCAGAACTTCCTTAATATTTGCAGCAAGATTGTCTTACATGCTGTTGACATTGCTCCATAGAAATAAGGAATGAGTATTATTCACAGACTGTATGTATGCATGTAAATGAAAACAAGAAGACACAAGAAGAGCACGTTTAAAGAATAAGAGGTAGACATAGAGTAGAGTATGGCCCTGTTTACATGAGACCGGAACGAAGTCAAACCACGGTACCAGCTCGTGTCAGTCATAATATTATTTATAGTAAATGTTAACATGGGACCGTTACAAAAATGACTCAGAGCAGTCTGAAGTCGTACCGCCCGCTGAACTGATCCGACTGAGTTCAGAACGGTATGACTTGAAACCAGCATTAATGTAAACTCAAATTAATATTCAGACCGGTCTGAAATTGCATCTACGCATGCGCACAAAAGCAAATTATAAAGGCAAAATGGCTAGCAAGCGTAACATTAGCCTGCAAGAAGGCGTTACGCGAATGAGGATTTTTCGTGATTTTGTGCGGGTCGCATGTAAACATGCAACAAATTCTGATTTTCATTCTGGTTTGACATCGTTCCTGTCCCATGTAAACAGGGCCTGCGTAGATAGGGTGAAGGCAATTATAATTAATGTACATAGTAGGAAGCATAGAGAAAAACCAAAGAATAGGAGATGTATGAATACACTGAAGGAAGACAAGGGAAATCTCTACTTGTTCATCATTATGAGTGACAAATTCTTAGCTTTTGTGAGGAAAGTGCTCATTTTTAGCGATTTTTTTGCAAACACTATCTGTTCATACGGTTTGGCTAGTGTAAATTAACCATAGGCCAAACGTTTCCATGCAGTGGGGTGGGGGGTGGGGTGTTAAATAACGCTGCTACTAAAATATCACTTCCAGAACTTAATGGCTTTGTCATTTTTTTCTGATATTGTAGCACGGTCCGCTGTAATAGAGCGCCGAAACTATAGCTTTTAGTGGGGCGAGGGAGGGGGAGTTTAGTAACGCTGCTGCTGAAGTATCGCTTACAGAACTCAATAGCTGTGACATGTTTTCTCAGATATTGTAGCACTGACCACTTTACAAAAGGCCGAAACTAGAACTTTTAGTGTGTGGGGGAGTGAGTGTTTACTAACGCTGCTGCTGAATTGCATGATTCCTTTTCTCCCTGGGTATTAAAATAATTGAAAACTGCACATAATCATTTTCACTTCGGTAAAGGAAAACAATACTAGCAATTGTTTGTGCTTTCTTTACTAGTTTATGCATATCACTTTTCATTCTCGAGGTATTGAAGTTTTTATTATGTCCGATTTATATGATGTCACACTGGATAATGAGAACTAGATGTATTAGGTAAAGTTGATGATACATTATTTTAACATGGCGGAGGTTCCTCCTTCGTGATGTGTTAATGATATAAAATACTGCGTACCATTATCAACCTAAAGTTGTCAGGAAAATGAAGTCTATTTGAAACATTGCAGCGACTCATTTTGCATGCAATATGTTGTCACAAGATAGATAAACTGTTAATTGCAAGGACGTAGTATTTTTAGAGTGAAAAAAGTTATGCAGAAAAGGTTTTAGAAAGCACTCTGTCATTTCAAAAGTTCTGGTCAATACAGATATAATTTAACTAGCATAATTTTCGTTTAATTGGCACTTTAAAATGTCAAAACAATGTTTGAGAGAATAATTGTAGAGATCGAACTTCAATGTTAATCTTTAGCAGCTAACATAAGATAGTCTGTCTAAAAAACGAGTGTCGAGAATAGAAAGAAAAATTAAATGAAGCTATAGTGTTATCTTTTGGTATAAAAAATTTTTTTAGATTCTAAAAAATATTTGCTCTCAAAATTTAAATTTAGTATTTCTGAAAAACGCAAGTTTACTCCTTAACAAAAATTCATGAAATTACTGCAGAGAGAGGTTTTTGTGATTATTTGTTTGGTGTAAGCTAATTTCGAATGTACCAGTTAAAAACTTTATGATATGTCCAACAATTGTTAGTACGTTTTTTAAAATTGTGCGGTATCAGTATCCTTTTCTAATTGGGGAACTTTAAGCTATTTTGACGTATTTATATTGTTTGGTTAACCCTTGAATGTAATATTTTTATCTAGAAGAGTGGAAATACATTGATGAATCAACGAAACATAGAGAATTGCTTATTAAATTGATTGAATATGGACGCAATTCCAGCATTGAGGTTGAAGTGGTTGGCAATGTGCGTGTAATATTCTCAGAAGAATTTTGCATCGGTAAAGGAAGTAACGAGACTCGTGTTTTTCTTGGACTGAGAAAAGATGGTTACGGCAAAGCAGTGAAACGAATACGTCGAGACAACTGCATGAAGCTTGCACAGAAAGAAAAAGAAATTTTAAATCGATTCAACGCAAAGAAATCGAAATATGTTGTAAATTATTCCTTCTTAGAAGAAGATACTGGAACGGAGTATGTCTATTTAATATTAGACTTATGTGAAGAATCGTTGGAGAGTTATGTGAAATCTTCTTCTCTAAGTGATCTTCAAAACGCTCTTCCCAAAATTATTAGACAAATTTTAAATGGATTAGCTGATCTTCATAGTGGAGAAAATCCTATTATTCATCGGGACCTAAAGCCTACCAATGTTCTCCGAGACTCACAAGGCAACTTTCTGTTAGCTGACTTTGGCATTAGTCAAATATTGGATTACGATTCTACGACATATGAAAGCAGTCCTAACAGAGGAACGAAGTATTGGATTGCTCCTGAATCATATATAGAAGATGAAGATTCAGTTGATAAAGGACGGTACAAGAGAGTTTCTGATATAATGGTAGGTGCAGGAATATAACCATTTGCAAGTCATGCATATATAGAGCCAATTTGTGACTTTACATTGTTAATTTTTTAGAATGCAGGAATGGTGGCATATTATGTTGCGACAAAAGGGAAACATCCTTTTGGAAATAAACGGCTTAGACTGGACAATATGTTGAAAGGAAACCCTGTTGGTTTGGATGTAATCGAGGATGAAACATTAAAAGACCTTCTGTCGTGGATGTTAAAACGACAACCAGAAGAAAGACCATATTCTAACGAAGCATTAAAACACCCATTTCTCATGTCAGATGATGAGAAGTTTGAAATGTTACGTAAAGTTGGGAATCTTCAGCAGATTAAGACAAATGATCCCTTGTGTAGTGTCGTTCAACAATTGAATAGTGAATCCTCAGATTGGAAAAGTCAAATGGATTGGGATGTTTATGATTATTTTAGAACAGACGTGGTGACTGGAAAGATATTTACATATGGCTCTTCATGGACAGAATGTTTAAGACTTATTCGAAATATTAACCAACATTGGAACGATCGACCACGACCTCTACCACAACCAGAACCATTTTATAAGATTGGTGATTACAGGGCGTATTTTCTCCGAACATTTCCTAATCTCCCTGTTCGGGTACATGCTGCTGTAAGGTCAAATGAAGAATTAAAAAACAAACCAGAACTTATGGGTAAGCATACTAGCTTGAATTTTCTCATTTTTTACTACACTTCAATTATGTGATCGTTGTACAATAGCAATTTGATTACATAATATATTTCTGTGATATTGACATCATTTCTTTGCTCATCAGTCTTTATTTACTTAAATTAGAAGAGAAAAATATTATGAGAAAAATATCCATTAGTACCATAAATATATATTGTAAATATTTCCAATGAAAAGTGAGAGTAAAATGTCTAAGGCGTAGTCATTCTCCCTAGAGGAATGAGTGTCGAGATTTAATTATAAATTTCAAACGGAATATTCTATTTTTCTTAAGAAAAATTTCTTGCCATAGAAAAATGAAAGAGTAATTTCAACTGGAACGATAACTTATACAAGCGCTCTATAATAAGATTAAGGCATTGAAAAGGCCCAAGGAGACCTGCACTTTCCACGGCAAATTCGCACATTTATACCCTATTCGCACCTCTTTTGACTTTTTCAATTTGAAAATATGTTCGTACTCCCTTGATTTAACCCTTTTTCTTGCAGTGAAGCAGATTTGTAACATTCACCAAACAAAATGGCCAGCAATTCTTCGAAAAGTTCGCTACCTATAGGTTTAATATCAGGAATTTAATAGACAACAAAAAGAAGCAGTATTTTATGTTTTTCGTTGATACGTCTTTCGCCATTTTTGAACAAAAAGGAACTGAACGGACCTGCATAGGCCCATCACTGATATGTATATTACACTGGATAACGCATCCACATATAAAATATAGTAAGATAATTAAAGCCGGGAGTTGGCTCATCTGATTATGACCTTCGTGGGGGGTATCGGTCCCACTTTACTATACTTTTGTATTAAAAATGACAGTTTTTGCGTTTTATTCGTTCTATATGATAATATACTGTCCTTAAAGATGGCGGTTAGTTATCGTTGCAGTTGATATTATAATTATGCGGGAACCAAAATAATTTTATTATTACGTATGCATACAACGAAAACACAAGGTTGTTTTGATGATTTATTGGATTAATTTTGAACGTGTCTTTAAGATGTCAGTAACATTATAAAACGTTGACATAAACCTACGTATAATATTCACTTTATGAAATTTGTTAACAATATTGTTATTTCAGTCAATATGTCATGTAAACACAAATTTTGTACTTTTTCCACAGCTATTTTTTCTAAAGAAGAGAAAAAGCAACGTTGTTTTCAAGGTAAGTATATGGTAATACAAAATTTTGATTTAAGGGTCACATCTTATGCATGATATACTTTTTTAAGTTCTTTGAAATCTATTGTTTATCGACAGATTACAACATGACCATGCAATTATCTTCCCAATATTAGCCCCCTCCAAATTATAAATGGTACGACAGCCCTGGATATATAGCCTATGGGGATTGCACAAGTCGGAAAAATGACTTCTTTTTCTTCAAGTACATGGTATTTTATAAGTAGTCACGTTGCATCAAAAATACATAGTAAAGAGTCTCTCTAGAGGGGAAGAGTCGAGAATGGAAAAATATTTTTTGCATTGGGGAAAATTTGAGTTACTTTTATAGGAATTATTGTTTTTGTTTCACTCACTTTTGACTATATGTATAGTATTTAGTGTCATGTATGAAATAAGAAACATACTCCGGAGAAAAGGGCAATTTTGACCTCAATATTTGAAAAAACAAACGTGGCGGTTATTTCATTCTGTAATGTTTTGAATTCATTACAAATTCATCATCAGACCATAAATATTTACATGCTAACTGTGGCTCTATGTATATCTGTTTATTTCGATCATTTCAAAGAAGTGTGAGTGCGGAAGTGTAAGTTTTTTGAGAAGATTAAGTTGATTGTATTACTGGCTTTCAGGCCATTGTTAAAGTTCTGGTTTGTAGGATTTAATAAAGAGTACATCCATTAGTAGAAGTCAGTTTTTGTTTAAGTTTTTGTTCTAGTAAATAAAGTATTTTGTATTTGCCAAATATGAGGACAAGTGTGCTGAAAATGTAGAGATTTAAACGTTTTTCATGCACAATGGAAAGAATTAAAACTGAAATTACCATTTATTTACGCAAAACATGACTTACATCCCAAGGATGAGACGTTTATGGTCCGAGAAATCAGTGAAACGCAATGGACAAATGGGATCTTCAGTTTTCAAATTGTTTTTTTTTCTAATTGTTGGGTAATTTTCCACAGCCAAGATGTTGCTACGGTTTAATCACCATTGATGACGAGACTTCGTCTTTCATGACAAAAGCTCATTTCTAAAAATAAAAACAATGCCAAAATTATACGGTCTGTGTTATCGTAAATTATTTATATAGGGTAAGAGCTTCCCAGTAGCTAAATCACTCCCTGCATCCTCATCCGGTGCCATGTGTATTGACTTTACGTTCATGTTTTTTTCTGATGGTGTGTAATAAATCGGTGTTTCTTTACACGTTTCTCTTGCTACATTTAGCTGATCTTAGATACACTAAACTAACAACAGAAGAAATCGAGAAAATTGGTCAGAAAGTTGGAACTGATTGGAATATACTGGGTGGTCTTCTAGAAATACCTTTAGACATACGTGATGAAATTACTGTTTACGACACAATTTATCCAAACCCCTCCGCAAAAGCTGAAGCGATTTTAGTCATTTTTAATGAAAGAAAGAAATTTGATCGATATGTATTGAAGAAATGCCTCGAAGAAATAAAGCTTGATTTGGATGAAATTTTGTCTCCCTCCAATCAGGTACATTTAATTATAAATATTTACTTACTCACATCATTTTTTTAGACCATTTACCGTTGTTTTCTGGAAAATCTGTCTTAAGTCCACTGTACTTCTAACAGTAGACTTTTCGAAAGATTTTCCAGAAAAACAACGCTAGCTTAGTGAGTATGAACTCGACAACCGTGAAACCGGCATGACTATGTGCTAAACGGGTTTCTAAAAACTTTTCATTGAATTTTTCTTAATTTGGGATTGTCAACTATAAAATATTAGGCTACTCAAACCAAAAATGTTACCAAATTCGCAATTTTTAAAATTACACGCAAATTCAGATGTGGTAAAATAATATAATTTGAAAGTTGAGTAGTCTGCAATTTAAAGTTTCTATTATGATATCTATTATGTGGCTATCATTGTTTGTACCCACTGATTTATTGCATTATTATCATATGGTTTTTATTTGGAGCAGATATGACAACCACTAGGCATATTTGTACAATGCTTTACAGTTTGATTGTTAATTTCATTGAAATTTTCAGCCAACATAACGGAAAGCAACTGCATGAAATGTGTTGAGTAGCGAGGAGCATATACTCCTAACAACTTATATTACCTCGAGAAAATAGAAACAAGCTCAATCTTGATACAAAAGGACACCAAAAAAAATGATAAAGCTCCTGCACTACAGTCCAAGCAATTACGTTCTTCAAACAGTTAAAAAATGTGCTCCTAAAATCAGAGTGAGACACGTACAAACTTGATAATACTTATAAACAACATTGGAAAAGACCCAGACAATGTATGCATGGAAAACGACGTTTCTTTATTTTAAGGCAATTTAAACGGCGCGACATTAAAAATGTCGACACATCACTGGAAGTTCACGACAGTTTGTATAATAGTAATAATTTTTTTAAGTAATAGTTAGATATTAATAAAGTTAGTATTGGTTGTAAATTTATTTCATTTATCTGGTGAATTGTGAATGTAGCTACATTTCAATGATCAATGTTTTAGTTTGATGGTGAAAGTGAAGCTTTTGACAGAATAAAGTCATTTTCAGCTTTAAATAAAGGTATGAAATTAACAATTATTGTTGCTTATAACGTTATGTCCTTTTCTTAACCTCAGGTATCGTGAACGTCTGTGCTTGGCATGCATAAAACATTATAGAAAGCAGACTGTTTTATTCATTAAAAAAGCGAAATTACTGATAAATCAAAATGTGGTTCTTAATTTGATAGTGGTAAAAAATCGTGCGGATTTAAGAAAATTTTCAAATCTAAAAACAGTAAAGGTACATAAGAGTTTTCTTGAACTGACTAAGGCTCATATTGTTGTCTCTTAAGTAGTTTAGCAATGCATTCCTGATTCTAGTGCATCTCCTTAAATATGACTTTTAAAATGTGCTTATTTTACAACGAGTTGTAACACGACACGATCGCGTTTTTTTCTGACTACGATTATGAAGATTCATATTTTCAGCTCTACCCGACTGATTCCTTTCAAAAATATACAGTCGCTTTCAAAAATATACCAGTCGAACAGAACTGATTATCTGACTATTCATCCCCTAAATGGATTGGTAGTTTTTCTCATAGAACCTAGGCATTTTTTGCAAGCTTGTCATCGTGCGGTGAACATGTGATGACAGATTAAAAAGTCACTTTTAATCGACACGTTTCTGAAGTAAGTTCCCTGAAATGTGTTTAAGATCGTAGCCGTATTTTTAGTTTTTATAATAGTATATTTAGTTTTTAGTTTTTGAGTTCGTCATAAACCAATGGCTCTCAGATTTCTGGGAACAGATAACAACGACATTAATTTAGCAATTTTATTTTCTGCAAAGTTTTGTATAAGTTTTATACATAAATGTTGTTTGTTGATCCGTTTCAGTTCATCTTCGTTACACTAAACTAACAAATGAGGAAATCGAGAAAATTAGTCAGAAAGTTGCAACTGATTGGAATAAACTAGGTTTTCTTCTTGCAATACCTTTTGAGCAACGTGATGAAACTAATGTTAACCACAAAAGTTATCCAAACCCCTCCGCAAAGGCTAAAAAGATTTTGGAGATCTTTAATAAACGAACAGATTTTGATCGGCATTTATTAAGCAAACACCTTGGAGAAATATATCTTGATTTGGATGAAATTTTGGCTCCCATTAAACAGGTATTTATTCAACATTTTGGCACACATTGTCACCATTTTTTTGCAGAGCGGTTTACCACTGTGGCATTTGTTACTAAAAAACCTTTAATGCAACACGATTAACTCAGCCTTTACAGCTAGGAATGGACAATGTTATTGAATGTTATGGGTGCATTTTTGCTTTTTATAATCAAAATATATGCAAAATTTGAACGTTGGAAGCAGTTACATAAGGTAAAATTAAATATGCAGTGAATGGACGCGGTATTTCTGCCTTCACTGTAGTTTTATAGTTTACGTACTTCTAACAGTCAGTACTGTCTGAACAGAATTATTAGACAGTTCGACCTCTCGCCTAACCGAAACGTCTTGTGATTACAAGAAATGTAATTTTACTGCAAAAGTTGAATGAATTCATAAAACCATCGTAAACAACATGAACTCGTGTGAGCAATTTGAGTAGCGACAAAAATTTGACTAAGTTGTAACTAAAGATGGAAGACTAGAAGTTTTTTTGTTAAAGTCGTATATAACAGTGCATGTAAAAATCTCATGGACGATTTTATTATCTAATACAAATTTTTTTTTGTTAAACAATAATTTTCACGCAAAGAACTACAAATTATCTTACGTTGATTGTCATTTCTGTATTTGCCTTGTCGGGATTATTGTGGTATAGTATTTTACATACTCAACTACTCTAAGTACCAAAACTCTCCTACATGCAAGTTTTGTATCGATATACGTTTCGAACTTGTTTTAACCTCTACTCGTTAGTTTAATTCAGTAAAGTATGAACTTAGTCAGGGCCAAATAGGTGGTGTGCAACCATTTCCTTGGGAATGAGAGAACAAAGGAATGTTCACCATGGTGCATGACATTTGCATTCTAAATAAGGAAAATCTTTGATAAAATAATTTAACAAGGTAGCTAAGACGTAACTTGCACACCAACAATTTATCATTTTATCGTGTTAAGACGCGCTATATAAACAAATTTATCTTTAATGACAAATTTGCAATCCTTTTCTTTTAAACTTTTCATAGACAAACAGAAATGAAGATGTTTTAACTACTCGTGAAATGTGTCAACTGAGTCGTCATCTAGGAAGTAACTGGGATGAAATGGCTTCCTTGATGAATTTGGATAGCCATGAAATTGAGAACGTGCTATCGAATACGAGTTATGAAAATGAACAAATAAAGGCAGAGAAGATTCTGTCAATACTATCAAAAAAGTGGAAAACTGAATTTCGGAGAAAACTAGGGGAGACCTTGAAAAGCATGAACCAATCTACTTTGGCTAATTTGATTTTGAATTACGAGTGGAAACACCTGCAATAAAGGAAAAGATTTTTCTTTTGAATGTAAACATTCAAATGTTTTACTGAGAGCATTTTGAGACTAAGTTCATATTAAATTAGCACCGTGTATTGGACAATACGTATGTATAGACATTTCTATATAATCATGTCAACACAGTTAAAACATTTTAGTTATAGTATCAACATATTGATTACTTTTAAAATTTGTCGCTAAATTGCTTCATGTCATGTCTGTGCTGTACTCAGGCCACGTTTACACTATACCCGATTACTATTGTAGCAGGTTAGATTTTCTTTGTATTAAAAGGCAGTGAAATTGTTCAACCTCAGAAACACAATCAAATAGACTAAATCTATCAACTTCATAAGCTCTTATTCTAATTTTACTGAAAGTTTGCATTGTAGGAGTAAAAGATTGGGCTAGGTTTGCTCCTAGCTATACTTTATATAAATTTCTTAGTATTGAACTAGTACTTTGCTAAATAAAGTCATAAAAGTCATTGTCGCTTCCACAATATGAAAATTTCAATCATATTTTTTGGGATGAGGGATTATTCTTATAAGCATGATTTGCCATTGCCCGAGGCGACAAATAACGCACAATCACAAAGCCAAGGAAGGGTCAATTTGAAAAGTGCTGGCTTCAAAGGATAAAGCCTTCTAAAATGTATTGTTTTTACGGATTTTAAGAAGAACATGTCAATAAGGGGCTTGGGAAGCCATAGGCGTATGGGTCTGCAGACACCCACAGAATGTGCAAGTTTTTACTCGAACACTTATGTTATGAATGCCATGTTTTTACAGGTTTAACCAAATTTTCAACTTAATAAATGGACCTTTCACACTGGTATGATGCAGTTTAAGAAAATACCACTGTTATAATCCTTTATTTAACAGCCTCTTTTAACTACAATTATATTTTACAGCCAACCAAAACTTCTTTGAATGTGAAGTTGGAAGGTTCAATCAAAAATTTGTATGAAGTTGTCTTAAGATTATTCTCGAAGAGAGTAAATCTAATACTGACAATGGAGTTATCTTCCTGCCTTTTATAGTAATTAATCGCATGTAGAGTGTGCCATTTACAATTTGCAATCAGTTTCCAGCAAGATCGATATAGAAGGCTGAGTTCTGACAACCAGCCATAAAATTGCTAAAAGTGGATGTTTCCAGGTTCTTTCCATATCCTACCATGTTCAGCCTCACAAATAACCTATTTTCTAAAGGTTTCATGGTTGTATCATTTTTTGTGTAAGCTTGTAACAAGCATTACTATGTGAGTAAGACTTTTCCGTCAGAAAGTTTTTATCTTGATCTCTAAATATAAGCTCTTAAAATCTTGCAACTTTACACGTAACTAGTTCATAAAATAGGCGGTTATATATATTTTTTGTCATTTTATAAGCCATTATTAAAATATCTGCACACAACAGTGAAAGTTATAATAGGGTTTCATCATTTGGCAATGTCGATATGCAGTAACAATTCCATTAACAAGCTATCAAATTGTATGAACTCAGGCTTAGATATGTCACTGGAAATTAGGTATTTTTCACAATATCTGGGTTAAATGCGTCAGTAAGTGTCTCACCAAGTTCATTCACACAGACATTAGGCTACTTTGACACCCACCAACCCCCACCACCACAGTAGTCTTGGATTTTTTAAAAAGGGGCGATTTGCAGTTAATTAGCACATCAACAATACATAGCATTGAAAAAGCAGGAAAGCAAAGCTATCGAGGAGCAAGACATCATGAAGTTTTTTTCACATTGTTTATTATCATTCGAGTTGTTCGTAGTCTACCAAAACAACTTTACATTACTAGCATTACACTTTACCACAACCATCATTTTTCAACACCACCCCATTAAGAACTACTTTCAGATATAACATATATAGTAGGTTTTTTAGGTACACATTGAATAGTCAACAAATAATCTTGATTTGCTCACTAGTGTTTTCTCCATGGGGAAATCAGCATACGTGACTCCCATCCACAATAAAGATTCATGGGAACAAGTAGAAAAAATAGACCCATTTTTTCATTGCTCCGTCTTTTTTTGATTTCGAGATCGTATATCCAACCTCTTTAGCTCTTCCAAAGATTGTTTTCTTCAAATTTGCTCCTGTGAGACCAGCTTTTATCTCTCCTTCATATTTCTTAGAAATCACGTACCTCAACTTTTCAAAGGCATATGACTCCATTCACTATGCAATGCTTAATTGAAAAGTGCTTGGTATGGCTAAACTGGATCTCTTTCATGTTGGTTCGCGGATTATTTAATTGATATCGAGTTGTAGTGGATGTTAAAAGACTTACGAGGTCTCCCGTCTCCACTCAAGCGCCAACATGAAGCATTCTCGTACTTTCCTCGTTATCCTTCCATTTATTTCTCGGCCTACTTGGAAACTGAAACCACTTGTATGTCTATGACCTCTCTCTCTCATCATCTTTTTCAGTGAATGTATATCTCTTTAAACGTCTTTGCCAAGTTTTGACATCAGAAGTAATCAGGATATCTTTTGCTCCTTATTTCGTCATGATTAGCTTGACGTCGTTTTCGCTTTAATATTCATACTCCCAGTGGCTGTTCAAATGATTGTCTATATGTACTCAGGAGTAAGCAGATGTACAAATGTTGAGAGAGTTATGCCCATTTCAAACGTTGAACTTTTTACGAGCCGAGTGCATTTAAAACAAAAAATAATTAGGAATTTCATCGCATTTATTTTTGTCTTGAATGCATTCGGTGCATGAAAAGTTTGACGTTTGAAACGGGCTTAAAGTACAATTTTAAATCTCTTAAACGACTTATTATATCGTTCCATAAACAAGAGATAGTTTCCTTTACAGTCAGTTATAGTATATTTAAACCTTTTATGTAATAAACCATTAAACTGCACAAAACGCAAAATTGTACTTTGTTTTAATCTTTCCACGAGCTTCAAGTTTATAACTTCTAAACTTCGAAGGATTTCAAAGGTTTGCAGTTTTTCATGCATATGCAGCTACACGCATGAATATATATTGAGTTTATTGAGTTCAAAGTCTTGGACCACTGCTTGGCAAAATTGACTACTGATTGACGCTCTCGTCATCGATCTAATTAAGTTAGCCTATTTCTGACTTGCAATCATTCCATGCAGATTTACAAACAATGTCGTCTGCCCACGTCCGTTGGTGCCCACAGTAACATTATTTAAAATAAGACCACCAATTCTTGATTTGCAACCACTCTCTTGAGATTTACCAAACAATGTTTCTCGCCCATGTCGGCTGGTGCCAATAACACTGATAAAATATTCTTTTGTATCAGACCACCAACGTGGCTAAATAGCAGGTCAAAAATATGGTGACCAAATCAAGATTTTGAGCCGTTATTTACTCGAGTAATTAAGTGTGCTCTTTTAATGATTTCTGATCATGAATAACGGTTAGTCAACGACACACCATTAAATTTATTTTGACGATGATGAGCAAAATATTTGTGTCACAGTGTAACGAGTATACAGTAGAGCCACTCCATTGAATTTTTTCCTGCCACGCATATCTTATTACGCATGTAATTACCATAGTGGCAGCCAATCAACTGCTTTTTTTAAGCAATAGGAATGATGAAATGGCTAACGGCAGCCAGTAATGTAATTAAATATACAGCAGCCAATTGCACACGAAGTGCACTTACTGTATATTCCTATACTGTGTTCGTATTTACTTTACATGTGTGAGTTACTTCATTCAAGCTAATGTTATATGCACCAAACTCACACTTAAATAAAGGAAATCAAAAAAAGTGGTCAGAATGTTTTTGCATTGATTTTAGCGCATTGGAATGTACTGGGTAGTCCTCTATAAATACCGCTTTACATCCTGATGAAATGCTGTTAAACATAAAACTTGTTCATATCCCTCTTCAGAGGCTAAAGGAAATTTGAAGATCTTTAATGAACGCATGAAATTTGATCGATAGTTATTGAAAACATGCCCGAGAGAAATATATCTTGATTTGGATGATTTCCCCCCAAAACAGGCATTTCTTTAGCATTTATGTATATATTTATTTTATTGGAAACAGTTCATTAAAGTTTCTGAGTTCAAAAAGGTTTATTTTAAGGGTTTTGTGAATTTGGAAATTCAGAGCATAGAGAATTTGCTCAAATAGGTTTTTTGTTGTTAAGTATTTAATTTTTTCCATTTGTCAGAAAGATTTAATGCTTCGCTGAATCCCAGCTCCAAGCTATGTAAACACCCCTAAATACGTTCTTAATGATTTCTGAACACGAATACTAAATAATGGCTTTCCTTGCAGGCAGATTTTGTCGATTGCTTTTGGATAAAACAAACAACAATGGTTAACCTCCTTTGCGATTAATTTATCTGCCAGCTAAAAATGAACAAGGCAAGTCATTTATAACGTAAGACAAGTTAGACAACTCAGATAGGTCTCTTCCGTCACGTCGAGGCTACAAATATGACATTGAAAATGACTGACCAGAAGTGTTTGAACTCTAATATCGTGCGAAATAATTCAACCATTGTGAAACAAATATAATGATTTATCACCACTTAAATTTTTATAAATTTTTCTTCTTTTAAATTTTATTGCTTTGACGATCTTAAGTGACCAGGACAATTTGTTGGACAAAACTTTGTATAAATTATTATAAAACCATGTAAGTCTTCAAAGTAGATCGTAAAGAAATTGCAATATGTGATGATTACAGGCTGTTTTGTGTGTGACGCGTTTTAAATCTTTCTGAAAATTCTGAGAAATTTCAATTAGCCCATCAAATAAGGTTGATTGTGCACCCAAAGGGACACAACTACTTCAGTTTACCAAATGCTGTCAGTTATTCTCCTGACGGGAAACTTATTGCTGTTACCATAGCTTGTCCGATTGATTACATTGTTAAGACGTTCATTATTTGCTCGCGTTCTGTTGAAATTTGTTACACGTTGGATTTCGTGGATGAGTCTGATCGAAAGTGCCAAAAAACTGAGTGCCCGACCTCGTTCTTTGGTACTTCGTGTCAAGTTTCTTCAGTCACAAGTGTTCATCCCCGCGTTTTTTTCTGGAAGTTACGAATTGTCTACGAGTTAAAAACAATGTGTCTGCTTGTAATTAAAGCGTTTGTCTCTTTTAATAATGTTGATAAACTATCATACCTATTTGTTTGAAGCAAGGATTGTAGTATATTTATTCTTAATATCTTTAACAATGTCAATAAAAAATATTATTCATGCAGTTTTTGTAAACTTGAATCTATTTTGGCTAATTTTTAACACGTGAGTGTATGTTAAATTTAGACTTCTATTGACAATTGCTCGTACACCTGCGCATTTATAGGTATAGATTTATAGAAACCGCGTGGAAGCATTGGAAAACTGTACTTGTCTTGGTAAATTATGTAAATTTAGATAGATAGGTGAAATATATTTATTCAAACACGCTGACGTCATCAAATTACGTTGATTTCCAAGAGGGGCATATTAGTGGCGGATCCAATATAT